ATCTGCTGAAAAATCTGATCATCCTATAGAGATTCCCTTGTACCTAAGAAGTGTTTTTTTTTCTCTTGCTGCTTTTAAGATTCTCTTTTTATCTTTAACTTTTGATATTTTAATTACAATGTGTCTTAGTGTGGCTCTTTTTGGGTTCATCTCTTTTGAAACTCTTTGGGCTTCCTGGATCTGCACGTCTGTCTTCCCCAGTTTAGGGAAATTTTCAGCCATTGTTTCTTCAAATAAGTTTTTGCCCCTTTTTCTCTTCTTTGGGACCCTGATAATGCAGTTATCCCACTTGATGTTGTCCCATAGGTCTCTTAAGCTATCTTCACTTTGTTAAATTCTTTCTTCTCTTTGCTGCTGTTTTGGTGAGTTCCACTGCCATTTTATAGATTACTGATCTTTTCTTCTGCTTCGTCTGCTTTTGAACACCTCTAGTGTATTTTTTCAGTTCAATTATTGTGTTCTCCAGCTCTGTAACTTCTTTAGTACTTTCTTATATTTTCTCTTTGTTGAAGTTTGCACTATTTATCCATTTTTTTCCAAGTTCAGTGAGCATCCTTATAACCATTACTTTGAACTCTTTATCAGGTTAATTACTTATCTTCATTAAGGTTTTTTTTCCCCTTGAGGTTTTATCTTGTTCTTTCATTTGGAACATATTCCTTCATTTCCTAATTTTTCTTGACTCTGTATTCTTTTCCCCCTACTTATTAGGTGAAACAGCTACCTCTCCCAGTGTTGAAGGAGTGGATTTTTGTGGGAGATGAAACTTATCTTTCAACCTTGCCATAGCTCTTGGTTGTCTCTTGAACTTTCATGATTGTCTAAACAGCCTGATTTATTCTTGATAGGTCCCAGTTGCTGAGGTTGTGCTAAGACCTGTCAGTGTTTCAAAGGGAGGAATCTCAGTTAGCACCTAGTTTCAGGCTGATTGGAAGCCAGTATGTAAATACAGACAGTCCTGTGGGCTGCAATCATAAACCCTGCTGGCCTCCAGACCAGGTGATCCGGAGGTGCCCCTTGGTGCCAGTTAAAAAATCAGGGCTTCAGACGAGTGTTTAAGCTCCTTTCTGGGAGGTACTGGTGAGCTATAGTGAGGCCGAGGGAGAGCACAATGATGGCGACCTCCAGCTTACATTCCCTGAGAGCACATCCATAACCTCTAGATATGTGGCAAATCAGATGTCTGCCCCCCAGGCTGAAGCTCCAGAACAAGTAAATAGGCCTTTTTCACAGAAAGACTGGGGGTATGTTTCAGTTTGCTGTCTGTGTAGTGTTCTGGGGGTGGTAGCCTGCCAAGAACTGTCTCCAATTGATACAGTTCTGTGGGAACCAGGAACACAAGCCCCCCTGGCCACCACACCCAGGAAATCAAGGAGCATCCCCTCTGTGGACTTCATGCTCCTGCTGGTTTTCATGGTGCCATGGGAGAGTGCAGGGCTGGAGTGCATTTGCTGGCTTTTGCAGGGCAGCAGGAGAGCACTGGGCAGAGGCACACCTGCAGATGCTATCAAGGTAGGGGAGAGCACAAAAATAGTGCCCACCAGCACACCTGTCCCTGGAGAGAATCCCAACAGGCTTCTGCCCCTCCGGCAGATGCTTTAACATTAGCAAATGAATTTCTTTTACATATAGTCTAGGTACTTTCAAACTTCTGCTTTTGCACTGGGTCTCAGGGTGAGTGAGTCTCCACCTGAGTGCTTTAAGTATCTCAGTCTCCTGCATGTGAGCCCCATTGGTTTTTCAAAGCCAGACATTTTGAGGGTTCATCTCTCCACTGCAGGTCCAAGTGTTGAGGTGCCTGATGTGGGGTACGAAGCCTCCACTCCTCAGGGAGAGGCTCCAGATTGTTACTTGCTGCACCAGTGGTGCAGTTTTTGGTCTCTGCTTCTCCTACCCATCTTGATGTGTCCCTTTTACCGTTTATTGTGAAGGAGCTGTTCACCTAGCTTTCAGGTCCTTTTAAGAAGGAATAGTTTTTTATATAGCTGTAGATTTGGTGTCCGTGGGAAGAGATGAGTCCAGAATCTTCCTATGCTGCTATCTTAGACTGCTCCGTTATAGCATTTTAATACTGGATAACTTCTTAGTGCCTGGCATGAGGTTGGTGCATATTGATTGCTTGAGATCTTGAAGATGGATAAATCTCCAAACAAGAAAGAGAAATGATTGGTAAACACACATCTGGCTGTAAGGATGGTTCAGGGTCATTTATTTTGCCATAACTAGTAAAGCACATCTCATGTAATGATTTCTCAGAATTAAATATGATTTTAACACAAGGGTATCCAGCTCTATTGTCCATGGTTGCCTACTCTTTAGTTTACACCATTTCACTGATTCAGTTTTACAGTTCCCCTTTGTGGAATATTGTTTTTAAAAAGATGTCCTTTTGTCAAAATTAGCTATTTTTTCTGATTTACAAATGAGACAAAACTAAAAAAAGGAATAAAAAGCACTTTTGTGACTTATGACATTTTGTCTACATTAAACTTTTCAATCAACAGATTATAGACATTTTGCATGATTTAGGTAAAAATTCTGGTCTTCTGGACAAAATTTAACCAGTGTTATGGAAAAATGTATATCAGGTATATATTAGAGAGAAAGTATGACTTTTTCAATGCAAAATGAATAAAAGAGACTACAAAACAAACAGGTTACACTAATCTCAATGAAGTACAGAATCACCTATAATGCTAGGTTAAGAAACTTCCTCATTTTCTACATTAAAACACCTGAAGATACTAATCTTCCTTAGTGTCCATAGCACTGAGTCCATCAACAAAACTTGATAATTTTATGTATGAATTTATTGTTTTCTAAAATTTTGTGCATAAATCTTACTATTCTACCCCAATCAGATCATAAACAGAAAACCAGGACTGTTTTATATTTTTCTTTAGAGTGCAGTGCACATAGTAGTTATTCAGCCTACACTGATTAAATGTTGTTTGCCAGCAGTAGAAATTGATACAAGTGTTACAACATATTAATACAGATAAACCTGGGACTTGAGTCCTGAGTCCTCTCCTTAGCAAGCTGAATGGCCTTAAGTTACAACTTTGCTAAGTTTCAGTTTTCTCATCTGTAAAATGGGGATGATAGGGCCAGCCAAGTGGTGCATTGGTTAAGAGCTGACTTGGGACGCCAGAGGGCCCCAGTTCGGATCCCACATATGAGGGCCAGTGACACTGCCCTCTACAGCTAAGATGCTGAACAACAGCTCAACCTGGAGCTGGGCGGCCGTGAGTCGCCGGCGATGGTGTAGGCTGCAGCCCATGCGCAGTGGGCTGCCATGGGCTACTGTGTGTAGCCAGCAGCCAGTGTGAGCGGCCAGTAGCCGCCTTGAGCAGCCATCCAGAAGCCAGTGACTGATCTGCCTCACCCGGGAAGAGCACAATGATGGTGCCAACTTGGGCCAGTGAAGCAACGTCCTCCACAACTAGAGTGAAAACAAAAAGGACAGCGACTTGTCTGTTCCCCTTCCCCTAATTCCCCAGTGCTGTTCCCATCCCCCAATTCCCCAATAAAAAATTTTAAAAATATATTAAAATGGGGATGATAATAATAGTTCTTGCCTCATAAAAGTAGCGTGAGGTTGGTATAAAAACTTTTAAATAAATAAAACAAGGCTCATGAGATGGGTCTAGTTTGGCCAACACTTCTATTACATATTTCAGCATTCAGCATATTAATTTAATGTGCTTTCAGGTTCACTTTTTGTGCCTGTAACTGCACATAGCTCATTATTCATAAGCAGCATAACTAAAAAAGTCTGAGTCACCCATAAAGACGGCAAAGAGAAATAAAGCCACCTCTGAAGCACCCAAAATTCCAAGCAGGGCCTTGCCTAAGGTTAAGTCAGGATTCTAGAAGTAAATTATGAACCACAAGGACAGGAACCCCAAACTGGCTGGTGTGAAATTATCAAAGTGTGACAGAAACGGCATACCAAGGCTCTAAATCACATACTGACCATCTTTTTAAAATGCATAATCTGATTCATTAGGTCTGAATTGGAGGCTGAGATTATATATTTGCAGAATTTTTAGTGCAATATTTTGATGCTTCCACTCTAAATACCAATGATAAATACACTGAAACAGTTCATGGTATATAGAAAACAAGAGCCATGTTTGCAAAAATTATTTATTTACATTTTAAGCTCACATTAAAATCTTTCAAGGATAGAATGGCTAAAATGAAATATACAAAGTCAATATAAACACATACATATTAATCTTTATCTGAGAAGAATCCTAGAGATGGCTTTAGATGAACTCAGGTTTTCCTTCACAAAACCAATGTTCCCTTAAATCATGTGGTGATAATGTCTTCCCATAAGAATAAATTAACTATCTTTCAGAAAAGCTGAGAAACAAAAAGCTAACTTGGATTTATTATTAAACAGCTGTCCATATGCCATAAAACCAAAATTGTACAATGCTGAGATGTTCAAATAGGTCCAAATATGATATTAGGTATATGTTTTAGATATGGAACGCTTTGGTTATTAGGCTTTGACTTGGTTTTTGGCTTACTTGTATATCATTTCAATCATAATTCATTCAAAATCAGTACTTAATACTATCATAAGTAATTCATTCAAAATCAGTGCTGACTTAATACTATTACAAAGTACTTAACCTTGCCTTGATTGGAAATACTTTTAAGATGCTGACAATAGCAACACATTTCTCTTTTCCTTCACTCAGAAAAAAGAAACCACAGAAATAAAGAATTCATTCCCACATGTTAAAATCTACCATAATGTCTTATTCATTCTTCAAAAAAAAGAGTTCCTCATAATAATACCTGCCCTGGGGATTGGTACCTTATTGAAATACTAGACCTGTAACAGCTCCTCCTAGACCTTGGAAGTGTATGACTTGGTGACCTATTTATGTAAAATATGCTTAAGATTAAATATCCAGTAATACCTTGGTTTGCAAGCATAATTCGTTCTGGAAACAAACTACTCATATTGCAAGACATCGCTCGTTTACCACATTAAAATGTATTAGAAATGTTTGCTCATCTTGCAGAACACTTGCAATCTAAGGTTTTACTGTATAAGCAATGTATTTGAAGCTTCTGAGAAGGATTTGCTTTTAAAATAGTTTTAAAATCTGGGTTAAGATTTTTAGAAAAATAAATAAAATACTGTGGTGGTTCTACCCCACCCCTTCTACTTCTCTCCCTTCACGAATTTGAGCTTAAGAGCCCAGGGTTCTAAAAAGCAAAGCAAAATAGAACAATGTAGGTTTTACTATCCACCTTTCCCTCTTATCTTAGTGCAATGTATTATCACAAAGGCAAACTTGCTTCTCTTTCCTTGAAGTGAAGATCCTGTCTTTTAAGACAATTTAAATAACTGTTCTTAGGAAATCAAAAGAAAGTTTAACCAGTGCTTTTAATAAACAAGCAGCTATAAATGCCTATAAAATAATACATAACTTGTGATTTTAAAGACTGCTATTATAAAGTCTGAAAGCAAAATCTAAACATTTAACAGTTTAATCTCTTTAAAAGGTCTGTTTTTAAAGCTATAAGCTATATTATAAATTGCCAGTTAAATTCCCACTCTAAACTACTTTATAAAAATAAACTGCTGCACAAATGTATAAATTTAAGGTAACTATATATTTCTCATGTTGATCTTTTTTTCCAGTCTTATAAGTGCAGTAAAGCAAGAAAGTGAGCACTTAGATGTTGGTTAAGTTAAACTTCATTTGAGCAGCATTTTGATTTTAGGATAAAGAGATTCTAAATGTAGTCTAAAACTTTCCATAAAGTCATATTCACATTCACTGTACATTTTATATACACATAAATACAGATTTATAAGAAATAAACAAATTGACCTATACGTTTTGTAATGTAAAAAATAAAAATACATGTGATCACATGCTAAGTCAGCTATTTGAGAAATATGCTTGGTGTTCGGTTCTGATGGCAATAACCTTGAGTAACTTGAAGCATATCACATAAGTACACCACAGATACTTAACTTAGCCTAGGCCTATCCACAGTTTTAAGTGAAAAGGATTCTCTATTAAATCCAATGCCATGAAAGTAGTTGCATTTACCAGTAACGGTTGCACTGGAAAAGAAAGATGAGGGAAGGCATGATAGCAGATATCAAATGCTTTGAAGTGTAATTATAGGGAAGGATTAAATAATTCTTTTTTCAGGGGGAAATCAGGACTTTCTGATAAGAGCTGTCCAAAAATGGAAAGGTTTTGCTTCATGAATGTGAACTCCCAGTCCCACAAACAACCATGCTTTGTCAGGGCTCTTGTAGCGAGGACGCCTGTGTTGGCAGGAGGGACTAAATAGTAGATGGTTAGGCCCCGAGGAAGTCTAAAGTTCCTTGGTGCAAATTATTTTGCTGAGATTGAGTTGCTGACATTATATGACTTCTTAAGCAGTTGGCTTCATCTTTTGTTCCTGCCCATAAAGCAGTGTTTGATTTTGCTGTTACACCTCTTGTAAATTGATGGGTTTGGGCCTTCCTGGGATACATCAAAGTGAATTTTTTAAATCTAATTGCTCTCCCAAAAAAACAAATAGGTGGCTTGAGGAGCTTTGTAATTATCCTATACCTAATAAGTTCTCCATCAACTGCTGGCTGATGAAGGCTACAACATAAGATTTTACTTGGGGGATAAAAAGTTATCCAATCTAAAATGTGTACTGTTCTATAAAGTTAGGGTCTGGAGACTGAATAAGAAATCCTATTTGATACTCGTTAACCTCGGCTGGCATGCCAATGCTTATCACAGTAAGAAGTTCTTATTATATATCAGATCTGAGGTGTAGAGGAACAGGAAGCGTGGAAATGGACCTACTTAACCAGACAAACAAGCAAATAATAACTCTTCCATAAATTAGAAGAGGTTTTTAACTTTATAATCAAGGCATTTTTTTCAGATTACATTTACTAAAAGTATAGAAATAGAAATCCCACTATGGCTCTAAATATAAGACAAATAAATAAGGTCCCGTGGTTTATACATTTCAAATTCTGAAAGAGGCCCTATGGTATTTCAGGAAGAATTGTTTAAAGTATTGTTCCCTGAGTTCTTTTGGCAACCCCAAATGTAAGGTCATGAACTCCAAGACTTGAGAGAGAAAGAAACCCACAGGATGTGCTTATCTCTCTTCTAAGAGTAGCTGTTTCCTCCGAAGTGGTTTGTCCAGTGCTTTCCCTATAGTTCGAATGCTTTAAGGATGTGGCTTTATCCATTTTTCAGAAGACAAGCTCCCAAATGAAACTTATAAGGAGGAAAAAAACGGGCTCTTTAAAGAAAGTAAAGTTTTAACATTAGCTAACAGTGCAGTTGAGTAAATCAGTTTTATATCTATAATACATCAAGAGTGCTAATACTGTCACAGGTATTAGAAGGCAGAGCTCTATAGGCTCTGGCTTTTCCAATCTCAGTGCTTACTGAGCCCAGTTTCTGTTACCAGACAGAAAGTCTACCAAACAGTTCAAAGAACCAAACTATTAGAAACAGAATGACTTTTCCATATTTAAATGTGAGGAAGGCATACATTTGGTTTACAATAAAGATCAAAACAACATTAGATCTCAAACTTAAAATATCTGGAATTTACAGATTGATTTGTATATAATAATTATTTTTAAAAATTCATTCAAAATTGAGGTTTTAAGGTTCTTGAATTGTTTTCAAAGTCCACCTCCTTGGTGACTATTAGAATATTTTAAAATTCAAAACTTGGGAGTAACTGAAACAGTGAAATGTGAACGTTTGCAACTCCCATTAGAGTCTATTTAGAAAAGCTCATTACAATGAATGGAGGCTCCAATTCTGTTGCTGGCACTTTTAGGTTAGGCTTAACTTTATACAATTAAAAGTTTTTTAAATAAATAATAATTTTAAAAAAAGGTTGAGAGAGCCTACTGAAATGTTCCATCCATTTCAGCAAAGTGCACAAATCTGAGTGTATCCTTTGGTTTTGCTATGATCTCAAGGGAGGTGTGGAAATCAGTGGTGCTGGTGTCAGATTCCTGACTATATTACTGAGGCTGGCAATCTTCTCTTCTAGGAGGTAATTTTTCTTCTCTGCGGTTTTTTGTAGCTGTTCAGTCATTTCCAGAGCTTTCAGCAACTGGGCATTTTCAACAAACAAATCCTTCACCATGGCATCTGCTTTAGTATTCTTGCAGAGCTAGAAACAGAACCAGAAACATCTTGACTCCATTTCTGTAATTCTTTTCAGTTAAAGTCTGATATAAGGACAGTTGTTTGTAAAAGCAAATGGCTTCTATCAATTACATTCTTTTAGTTTTTACAATACAGCTTTAACATCAGATTGGCATCAGAGAGACAAGTGGAGAAAATCCACTTATTCCAAGCTGTTTCTCTGCATAATATGTTTGTAGAAGTCACTGCTAAAAAGAACAAATAGATATTTGAGGGTTCAAAGATGAAAGTTTGTTTCCCCACCAAAATAAATTAGGTATTATTCCTCTATTCATTCTCTAAAATATCAGAATACTTTTATAACTTACATTTCTGAGGTATAGAGTGTTAACTGTGTTTAACTCTGTTCTTAACACCAGATGCCTGAGCTTCCCATTCATAGCTACAACCTACTGATTATTTTCAAGTGTCGTTCGTGTATTATCACAAAGAGTAAACTTTGGGCAGTTACTTTTCCTTAGCGCCTCCTCTTTTGCAGAGAGCCTGTCTTAGAGATATATTCTAATCTTTACGGTTAGGCTACATAGTCTAGATTAAGGTGGGAAAACCTGTCAGCAGCCTTGGCATAATTTTATTATTGCTCCTGTTAATATCTTCTACTCCCCCTTCTCTCGTTGTTCCGTTAACTCCTCATTTTATACCCAAGTTCAAGCAGAGCACATAAAAGCATAAAAGTTTAAAGAGATAAAAAACAACTAAAGAATAACTAGATAATTTATTAGCATTTCATAGGGCAATGATTAGACTATAACACTGAAGCCCAGAATCTAGATGACTGGCAAGTGTAACATACTAACCTACTCTCTGCTGAAACGTTCTCAGACAACTTTCCCCCCCTCCCTCTCTCCCTTCCTTTGATGGCTCTTTATCACCTACAGAATGAAACCCAAACTCCTTGGCTTGGTGCATAAGGCCCTCTACTGCCAGCTCCTCCCTCTTTCTCCAGTTTCTTCTGCTTCTCCGAGGGCAGTGTTATTCCAAACCATTAAATCCAAAGTGTTGGCAGATGTCCACACCCCATATGTTGTCATAACTCCATGATGTTTCCATAGCCTAGAATAAACTTCCCACATTTCTTCACCTGTTAAAATCTTATGCAACCCTCAATACTAGGTTTAAGAGGCCTTCAGGAAATTTTCTTTAAACTACCTGGGTTGGATCAAGTATTTCTTCTCTATGTTCCCCTCTACTGAAAATAAAGTATACCCCATTTCTTTTATTTTTGAAACTACTACCTGGCCAAATCCTTGGTACTTAGTTAGTAAACTACACTTCACATGGGCAGACATTTTGTTTTGTTCACTGCTGTATCTCTAACAGTAACTATGTATTGAATAATGAATGATGAAAGGATTGAACTAATAAATACTGTACAGGATCTTTTCTTTCCATTCTGTGTATTAAGGTACGGGGCAAAGTAAAGTTCCCATCTACCTCTGTATTAAGACCCTCTCTTGAGATTCTTCTTAAATTTTATGCATCTAGAAATCCAGGTTGGACAATTTCTTCCCTCCCATCCCATCCCCACCAGTTCGTCTCAATCTCAGTTTCCAAAGAAGCTATAAAATTGCCCTAGAAAGTAACCCTTTCTGCATGTCTTTTCAGTGGATGCACATATAATTTCTAAACAGAGGCCACATCTGCCACCAGCAGATGAAAAAGTTCAAGCTCCTTAGCGGTCTTGGAATTCAGGGTCCGGATTCAAATTCAAAGCATAGCCTTTTGAGTCTGGTTATAGTCATAAGGTACTTTTTGAGGTTGTCATAGGTGTTACAAACAGGAAAGCAAAAGTTCTATTTATTATCTTCCATTTTTTTTTCTTTTTCTTAGGTGAGCCATCCTGCCACCTATTGGCAGCTCAGCGGCAGCTCAGCTCGGGCCGGGCATCAAACCGCTGTTGCTCCGAGCTTGCACTCTTGAGCGAGCTCTTAACCAACTGAGCCTCTCGGCCGGCCCCCTTTTTTTTTTTAACCAATATAAAATCTAGGGATATTTCCTGTCTTGAGCCAAAAAGAAAAAAACAAAAAACTATGAGTCACTGTTACATGCCTTTAAGGAGCTTTAGAAGAAATAATGCAGAATACAGAATTCATATTTTTGAAGTGGTATGAGGGAAAGTGAATCCTAACTTCCCCTATACATAGTAGAATTTGTCTTTGTTAGACAACAAAAGTTAATGGTAATAAAAGAATGTAAAATTGGAGCTAAAAGCAGAATGTAAGGTAGGTGGGTAGAGATGACCTGGGAGGCTCACTTGTTCTTTGAGCTGATTCACTTTCTCCTGAAGAAGCCTTTTCACCAGTTTAAGTTTCTGTTCAACTTCTATCATTCGTTCCTCCATGACAGTTACCAGTTGTTCCTGGTTTCCCTAAAGGAAAGAAAAAAAAAAGTATTATCACTTGGAAATCATGCCACGCTGAAAACACTACTAGTTTATTTTCCCCATAAGATGCCTACAGAAAGGACAGCAAATGTTTGCCTCTGTAACAGGAATGGTGGATTTCTGATGAAATGGGAGTTCTGCATGTGTTGTACATGTTAGAAAAGTAATCCTATCAGAGAAAGAATCAAAGATAAAAGAAAAAAGAATCTTACCTGTGTTACCATCTTCCCCTGAGATAAAGCAAAATTCTTAAAACCCATAAGTTGATACCTGTGTGCACGTCTAGTAAAATCTAGATATCCAAAGTAAATTAAAAGATGGGTATCAACCTTCCATCTATGACTTGGGTCTTTGCCATGCTGTGGGACTGTCAACAATATAACAAAAACTGAGTTTATTCAGGATCACCTAAAATTCCCAATCAGCTTGCAATATATACATCTGACTTTCCTTTGAAGTGGCTGGTTACTGTGAGGGTGATAGTATTTGTTTCTTCATGATAATCAGCCTCTTCCTGCCAATTATTCTATGGGGAGCCAAAAAAATGTATACACATGACTTGTATTCATCATTTGTTATCTGTATACATTGAGTATTACAATTTTAATACAGTTTTTTCCCTTTCTTAAAATGTGTATACATTTTTTTGGCACCCTCTGTATTTATCTGTTTCCCAGTTTGACTTGTCAGTGTGAAGCAAACACCTGGATTGGAGGATGGGTTTAGCATGAGAACAGATTTATAATCACGAATATTCTCTCCACAAACAACTCCTAGATAAAACAATCGGGCAGAAATGAGCCCTGGCTTCTCTTCCTCTCCGCATACAACAGTGACAGATTAAAGAATATATGAGTTGGGGAGAGCAGAGGGACCTAGAGAGAGATGTAGAGTGCAATTCACTGCTCCTCCCCACAGTCCACCAAAATGTCCACGTAAGGAATTTCACATTTGAAACGGTTCTTTAAATACTTAAGCAAAACTAAGGTGTTAATGGCTGATGGCATAACCCACCTTTTAAAATATTCTCAAAAAGGCATCCTTTAAAAAGCACGCAGAATGACCAAACATGAGTTGAAGGCCAACATTTTTTTCGTTATTAAATAATAGCATTTATTCAAACATAAAAGAAACAACTAAACAATGTGACTAATTTGAAGACAAAAACTGTAGTAGGCAAAAGTCTAATGCAGAAAGTAAATTTCAAGAAATCAGGCCCTAGGCATCTTGCATTTAAAAATCCTATATTTTAAGATATAATGGCTTTTTAAAGTTCAAACATAAAATGGAAAATGCCTGATTTCTACTTGCCTTAAAAAAAACAAAACAAAACAAAGAACCCCCACAATAACAGATAATTAATTCAAAGAACATGGAGAATGGTAAAAGAGTGGGGAAAGAGGAAAAACAGAGGCAGTCATATATTTAAAATTTATTTTATTGTTTCATCAAAATTTTCCTTTTTCCTGTCAAAAATGTATCGTACATATACAAAACAGTATAAATAACCTTGATTTTCTTCAAATTCCATATATAAAAGTAGTACCTCTTATTAAAAATAGTTACAACATATGGAATTAGAAAATATATATAGAATACATCCTTTCAAGAATCTCAAATCCACACTCTTTAAATGATATAAATAAAATTATTTGCAACAAGCTGAAATTTGTGAATTTGATTCACAAAACCTGTCATTTCTACATAAATAAATAAGAGACATAATACTGCAAAGGCATCATCATCATCATCATCATAATTCAAAAGAGCACTTGATCAAAATAGTTTTCAGCTTATGTCTCTGTTTGTGTGGTGTGTGTGGGTGTGTGCATTTGAGGATCTGCCATGGTAAGAAATGCCATCCATAGCAGCCCAGTTTTCACAGGTGCCCAATCCTTCTGTAGGAATCTGCATGCACTGCTCGCTGCTCCGGTAGCAAGGCCTAGAGAAAGAAGGCAAGTGGTACACTTCACCCTGATGTCCAGATTACACTTATGGGGGGAGTCTCAATTCACACATTTATAATGCAAACAAGTTTTAGGCACACATAGTAACACCACATATGCAAGCAAAGCAACACAAAGGCAGAAGAAATCACATCACTCCACACACCGAGACGACGTGCAGATTCTAATAACCTTAACATGAGTGTCAGCTCAGCTACCAGAAACAGGGGACCCTATAGTGTCATTCTAGGGAGAGCAATGAGCAGCCCAGCCTGCCATCTGACTGGAGTGTTTTTTTGTTTGTTTTTTTAGTACAGAAATCTTAACCTTTTTTTGTCTACCTAATCCTGAAGTAATTAAAGCAATGGGATTTTTAATTTTTTTTAATATTGGTGGGTGGGTTGAGAAGAACGTGCTTTGAAAATAGTGTGTATGAGAAGGCAATGAGAAGAATCTTAGCCTAATCATTTGGTTTGAAAGGTCCATTAAAAATTAAAGTCAAGGTTTTATAATGCAAATCTGTAATGAAGGGTTGAAGCATCTGTCCATTACCCCACCTTCACAATTTTAGTTCAAGAATTTAATTTTAATATTTGGAAATTGAAGTGGAATGTAGGAAGCTTCTAAAAACAGATATTAAAGCACAAGAGACAATTTTTTTTTTTAAGTTTGGTTGGAAAGAATAGATGATAGTAGTACATCATGACAACGCGTAGTTAGCTACTAGGACAGGAAAAGAGAACTGCTCCAGTATATGATTATAGTGTTAATGTGACTTTGCAAAGCCACTTTGAGGGGATTACAGAAAAAGTTGGGAAATTGTTATCAAATGTCAATTGACAAGCAAGGTATTAGACAACAAAAGAGCATCCAAACCAGGAAGAATTACTTTAGAATTCTGCAAACTCAGGAGTATTTTTTATTTTATTTCTAATTCTGAATAAACTAAATGGGTAAGAGTGAAGAGACTTCTGGAAAAGGATGACGATGATGATGATTTTTTGTTTCATGATTTATTGTGTTTAATACATTCTATGATAATATACAGAGGGTGCCAAAAAATGTACACACATTTTAAGAAAGGAAAATTGTATTAAAATTGTAGTACTCAATATATACCGATAACAAAAGATGAACACAAGTCACATTTGACTTCTGCAATTACTAGAGGTGCTCAAAGTGGTTACCATTAGCGTCCAGACACTTCTGATTATGGCGAACCACTGCTTGAGCAACATTGACCAAAGTGTCCACTTGTACACATCTTTTTTTTCTGGCATCCCCGGTATATCATAATATCAATATATGAATTACATGAGGTAGGGACCAGAACCATAAGAGAAAGATGCTCACATTCTTCCAGGAGAAATGAGAAGGGAATGAAAGTTGTTTATTACATGATAAGATGTAAGATCACCAGATCAATAGTTCAGGGTTACACATTACAGCAACAGGAGCTGGGGAGATTATATAAAAGAAATTCACAGTTCTACAGATGAACTGTACTTGGTACTTTTGTACTTTCTCAGGAATAAGTAAAAGGACCTACATGTTTTCTTTCCTATAATTTCCTATAATTTTAATTCCTATAATTTCCTAGCCTAGTCCCATAGGCTAGAAAATAAGTAATAAATTGATCCTTATAAAAAAGGATGGTTATGAATGAAGCACTAAAAAGAAATAACTATTTGAAAACCTAGATAATATAAGTTTGTGTCTGGTAGTGAGCTGGGATAATGCTAATTCAAAGGGAAGGGGGAGGAAGAGCTTTATTTTCTTAAAAATACACCTTTTTTTAATGATGTCGTTTGGAAAACTCAAAGTTAAGCGAACTATGTCAACTAAAAAGAGTCATTGACTACACGTTCTACTTTGTTCATTGGGAGAAGTCCCCACTTCTGAATTCCATGAAACTCAGCAGGCTGCCCCCTCTGGTACAGGAAAACCCAGGATGCTTTGTTAGTAATGCACAACCTAGAGTTGCACTTGAATTCTGTAATATTTTTGGCATCAGACAGGAATGTTAGGTCAAATGTGTACTATGCTCAAGTGATCCTGATACTTTGTCATCCATTACAAATGTGCAAAGTAGACCCAGAACATTCAATGACCTGGCTTAGAAGTTGAGAGCTCAAGAACAGCACCGCAAAAAAAACGAAAAACAAAAAATGCACTGTAGTTCTGTGAATTTGTAATACAGAATAGGTATAACTCTCTGACGGAAGAGTTATGTTCTTTATCCCCACCTTTCAACTGGTAGAACTTGAAATAAACAAGTAAAATTAAATTAGGTGATCTGAGCTTACTATTAGAAGAAAAACGTCTCGTACCTGTGGAGTGTTGGTTTCGGAGGTCCTGTTTTCAAGTTCCTCCTGTAGGTGCTGGTTTATCCTTTCTGCCTGCAGCAGCTGGTGCTGAAGCTGCAGAAACTGCTCCCTGGGCACCACCGCACAGGCTTGCTGCTGGAGCAGCCGCAGATCCCAAGCAGGAGGGGATGGGCTAAGCATCCCAGGGGACCTCAGGTGCTGCATCTGGAGGACAAGGGCAAAACCCTGGTCAGCAGCACTGCCTGCAACCCACAGCTGCCCTTGGACATGCCAACCAGAGTGCAAGGAAGCCTATGACCCATTGATAACTTGAAAACAGGATGGAACATGAGCCAGAGTAAGAAGTAAATGGGAAGAATCATTTTGCTTAGGAGATAATATAATTAATAAATAAGTAAGCCTTCTTAAATATATTCAGCTTAAAAAATTGTACTTCCTCACTCTTGAGTGACTGTAGGGGGATGAGGAACATGATGTATTGGGTCATTGGAAAAGTCATGACACATTTTTGCAACGAAAAACAGAAAAATATGTTTTCTTTTTTGACTTTTCCGATGACCCAATACATGATATGTCTGAATTCTACTTCATTTTGTTCTTAAACTAGAACATTTAGTTATCCCTCTTTACAAAAACAACAACCAGGGTTGGAGTAGGCAAAGAGGAGAAAGTGGTGGTGCTTTAGGGCTCACCACTTCACTTCCTATTCACAAAGATTCTTAAAAGCAGATGTTCAATGACTACATCATTTCCAAGTTAGCAATTTTTTTCAAAGAATTTCATCTTGCATCTAGAATTATTTTAACCTATCTTAGTTTATCAATGTTATACTCTTCAAGAGCACAATAAGACAGGCACTACTGGGGTATAAGGTGATATCCCAGAACACCTGGGAACTGAAGTACATGGACTAGAAGTATGTCTTCAAGACAATGAGGAAATGGTATGTGTATCGCATGTCAATCAAAGTTAGGGAGAGGGAAAAGGAGAATGCACTGTATTTGACCCATGAAGCATGCCAGTTCACATCTGTCAACACATTCAGCAGACACTGGAAGGCATGCAACAAACAGGTCCAAGTACGAAACTCAGGAAATACCTCCCGACTTGTGAGAAGGGGAAATGGTCCTCTAAGACACAACTATAATTAAATGTTGTCATGAAACTTCAGAGCCACTATCCATTTCCTTAAATCTAAATTTCTGAGGTGGGCCATTAGCCATTTAGAAATATTTGTTATAGATTCAGAAAAGCCACCACTTTATTTTCAGGAATAAAGTATATGGAGAATTATGATGCCATGATTTTTATATCAGCGGGATGGTTTTCTTCACACATGTCTTCAAATACTGAGTTTTAAATATTGAGGAAAATCCTGATATAAGTGTGAACGAAGACATCTTCCACAGTTAAAGCAAAATGAAAATGAATATTGGCTCTTACCTTACAGGCTTTTAACTGTTACAGTCAGTAGAAATGAGTACATGAACAAAGGGTTTAATGAGATGTCTCCATGCTATGACATTCATTGAAAGAGAGCGTTCTACCTTCACACACTATCTCAGGCAAAGAACTGCACCCTTCTCTGCTAGTTCCAACCACAGAGTTCTAGGTACAGGTTAGCCACAGACAAAACAAAAACAAACAAAAGAAAATTACAGGAGTTATAAAAGGAAGGAAAGTATGAGTTATAAAAAGAGAAAGAACAGTACAAATTGGGTATATTATATACCTGAATATGTGTGCTCTAGTCAGTAAGAACTTATAAAAGAGTAGCATTTACACATCTCTGTATATACATTTAACGGATATTAAAATATCTTAAAGCTCTAATCCTACAACCCCTTCCTCATGTACAGTGATTTGGTTGGTTTGTGAGCTAGCCACCTTTACCTCCACTCATCCTAATATAATTATTTGGAAGATGCCAGGTCCAGCATGGAATGGATCTGATGTTAAAGACCTTGCCATTTGGAGATGCAGAATGTAAACTATAAAAATTTTGTTGTTCGAGTGTCTGAACTGTTGGCTATCATAGGCACACAGCAGACTGGAGAACTGTTGATACAGTCTGCAACCGTTTTTTTTAATGTTCAAAATGAATTGTTGATAGAACATTGCTTCATATAGTTGAAAAAGCCCTAGGGTGGGAGCCAAATTCTTCCATTCCCTCGTCTAGTGATTTGGGACCTTTAGTTACATTGCAGTAGGGGTATGTATTGGAGTCAATCAGTGACTTTTATTTTTGTTTTGTTTTCTTTTTAGTTGAGTCATCCTGCCACCTGTTGGCAGTTCAGCGGTGCTCAGCTTGGGCCAGGACTCGAACTGCTGTTGCTCAGAGCTTGCACTCTTGAGCGAGCTCTTAACCAACTGAGCCACTCAGCCGGCCCTAATCAGTGACTTTTAAACTGGCACAGAGGGATGAGGAGAGACTCCTTCCCCCAAGATAGTGCATACATCAGATGAGAATCACCTAGAAAGCTTTAGAAATTCCTTGATCCCAAAGATTCTGATGTAGGACCATCTCCTTGCCTGCCTCCTGCCCCTCACCCAAACCCCATGAGAATCCTCATCAGCATGAAAGAAATGTGCTTATCCCTCAGGGGAGCTGGGTACAAAAAACGGTGTGAAAACCACTGTGTATCTCTCAAATTGGCCTAATCTATAGATATCATAACATAAATAAAAATCCAATTTGTAGTGCTGGTGGGAGGGGGAAAAGGGAGTTATTGCTTAATGGCTAAAGTTTCCGTTTGGGGTGATGAAAAAGTTTTGGAAGTAGGTGTGATGGTTGTAGAACACTGTGAATGTAATTAATGCCACTGACTTGTACACTTAAAAATTATTAAAGTGGCAAATTTTAAATGTATATGTACCACAATTTTAAAAATTAATGTAATATTCCAAAACCATTGAATTCAACATTTAAATAGGCGAATTGCATAGTTTGTGAATTATATTTCAATAAAACTGCTAAACAATTCAGTTTGTATAAGTCAATACATAATTGTTAATACCACTCAGCCTTATTTCCTAAAGAAAGTTTTGTTACAATAGATAATGTATAAGATGTTCTTTTTAGTGTTCCAATTGAAAATTCATGCTTTTTCTTTATTCAGCTCTAGTGCCAAGAATACTCAATTTCCCGCATCCATCAGCAAATATTTACTGCTAGACCAGAGAGAAAAACAATGCGGGAAAATTGCTTATGATGGCTAATAATGTAAAGTAGGCCTGGGAGATAAGGGGTTTTCAAGGCCAGCAGGAGCAGGTGGGAGAACTGGCCTGTTATCAGAGTGGAGAGGATCTGGCAGTGATTAAGTATACCCTGCTACTTCTCAATTTGGTATTAGACACATCAGGCTCAGATTCAGATATCTTATTCATTACACTATATAATTATTTCATCAGAAAAGCATATCTACATCTAAACACAACCCACAGCTCAAGGTTTTGAACACATTTATTATATGCTGTCAGAGAAAACAAATGGTTTCGATTCACTATTTATAGTTTCACTAATCTCCCTATTTGTGGATAAATCAGACAGCATAAAAGTGACAGAACCCTCAGTGGTAATTTAAATGTCAATGCAATATGTTTGCCCATATTTCACATTTAAAATCCAAGCTTCCACTTAAAGTTACCTTTGCGTGTGTCCAGATTCATAAGAAAATATTTAAATCTCTCCCTTCCTATAATTCTGGCTTAAAAATATTTGTATACATAGTACTTTTTAAGGACTCAAAAAGACACTTTTCTACCCATGCCTCGCTACCTTATATAAATTTTACAGTTCGCTAAATGTTGAATTAATTCTTTCATCTACCCAAAGCAAAGTAACTCAATGAAATTATAACTTAAGGAGGATTTGTACACAAGTTGTTTCACAGCCTTTAACTGTTCTTAGTATTCAGAAAGCAATCTAAGTAAACTGACACTCAATGTTCAAGCTGACCCATTTTACAAATCCATTTTTATATTTAACAGATGTACCTCTCACAAGGCAGTGCTGAGCTACTAATGTAGTAATGAACAGTGGCAACACTTGAAAGTTAAACTTCTAAATGCTAATGTTCTCAAATTCCCTGCATGGATTTCCTCCTAAGTGAAGAGGTCGTTAGAGAGCAATCCATAGCTATAAAACACTGCAACATGGGAAGGAGGTATCAGGAAACTGTTATAACCATAGCAATGGGGGCAGAGCTCTGCCACTTTCAGAGTCCCTGCCACTTGAATTTGCTGAGGTACAGGTCTTCCATTTTAGGATAATCAACATTATTCCTTTCTCTGTGAAGAATTATGAATTCCTGTGACTGCGTATTTAAGCTAAAATGTCTATTAAACTTAGTAAGATAGACCAAAGAATTCAGCTTGGCAGTGCACTTAGATTTTTACTTTTTTCATAATACAAATTCAATGCTGTGCTAGTCTCTCCCAACAAATGGCTCATTCATGGATTAAAATATTCTTCATAGCTAAGGGCATTTGCTTAAAAGCTTACCTCCATTAGCTGCTCATCTAGTTTTACTTGTTTCTTTTTCAGGCCTTCGTTTTCCAAATGAATTGTTTCTAATTCTCGTTCAAGGGAATTCATCTGATTGACCTGTTAAAAAAACAAAAAATTATCTTTAAAAAACAAACAAACCAACCAACCCACCTAAGTTTGTCTACTTTATTTTGACAAATGCACACTAGTCAGAAATCTCAGCTCTTGGAACAAAGCTGAGTTCATTCTTGGAAAGAAAACAAACAATATAATTTGTGCACTGATTGGAATATTACTCAGCCATAAAAAAGAATGAAATCTTGCCATTTGTGACAACATGGATGGACCTAGAAGGCATTATGCTAAGTGAAATAAGTCAGACAGAGAAAGACAAATACCATATGATTTCACTTATATGTGGAATCTAAAAAACAAAATAAACAAGCAAACCAGAAACAGACTCAGATCCAGAGAACATTTTTTTTTTTTAGCTGAGCCATCCTGCCACCTGTTGGCAGCTCAGCGGCTGCTCAGCTTGGGCCAGCAATCGAACCACTGTTGCTCAGAGCTCACACTCTTGAGCGAGCTCTTAACCAACTGAGCCACTTGGCCGGCCCCAGAGAACATTTTGATGGTTGCCAGATGGGAGGCGGGATGCGTAAAAACGGGGAAGGGATTAAGAAGTACAAATTGCCAGTTATAAAAACAATCATGAGGATGTAAAGTATAGCACAGGGAATACAGTCAATAATATTGTAATAATTATGTATGGTGTCAGATAGGTACTAAAATTATTGGATGATCACTTTGTAAATTACATAAATGTCTAATCACTATGTTGTACATCTGGAAATAATATTGTATGTCAACTGTAATTGAAAAATAAAAAACATTATTTAAAAAATATTCAGTGCATTGATTACATTTAAGTAGTCTAGTTTTTATCACCACTCCTCACATGGTACAGAGTCTTTAAGGCAGCTGGCTTTCAAATTTCAATGCCACTCACTGTATGAAATACATTTTTTCTTGCAAATCAGAAAATATACCCACACTGACCTGTACATATACATGCATAATCAATTATAAGTATGTATCACTGAAAGAAAACTTTCATGAAATAATACTTATCCTTACCATCAACCATGTACTCTGATATTTTGTGGTATATTTTATTAACAAAAAAACATTCCCTGATTTTACTTTACATCCCCATGATTATTATATTATTATTATTTTTTAATTGGGGAATTGGGGGGATGGGAACAGTGCTGGGGAATTGGGGGAAGGGGAACAGACAAGTTGCTGTCATTTTGTTCTTCAGTCTAGTTGTGGAGGATGTTGCTTCACTGGCGCAAGTTGGCACCATCATTGCGCTCTTCCCGGGCGAGGCAGATCAGTTGCTGGCTTCTGGACGGCTGCTCACTGCGGCTGCTGGCTACATACGGTAGCCCATGGCAACCCACTGCCACAGGGGCTGCAGCCTACGCCATCGCCTGCGAATCACGGCAGCCCAGCTCCAGGTTGAGCTGTTGTTCAGCATCTTAGCTGTGGAGGGCAGTGTCACTGGCCCTCATATGTGGGATCCGAACCGGGGCCCTCTGGCATCCCAAGCCAGTTCTTAACCATTGCGCCACTCGGCCAGCCCCCCATGATTATTTTTTAACTATCAATTTATACTTCTTAATGCCTTCACCTTTTTCACCCTTCCCCCAACACCCCTCCTATCTATCACCTCGATAAATCTAGTGCCCATCTGACACCAAACATGTTATTACAATATTATTGACTATATTCCTTATGCTACACCCTACATTCTCACAACTATTTTGTAATAATCAATTTTTACTTCTTAATTCCCTCCTCTTTTTCACACACCTCCCCAGTGCCCCTCCTACCTGGCAATCATCAAAATGTCTATGAGTCTCCATTTTATGAGTTCTCCTTATTATAGGAAGAATATAATGAGCTAAAGAACACTGGGTTTCACAATATGACTAAGTAGAAGACATATGACACTATTCTAGAACACTGATTTTTGCTTCTATCAAAAAGAGCTGAAGAGAGTAGCAAGAATTGTTAAATGGAGTGCAATCTCACCAGGTATATTTAAATTCATTATTTTAAAACCTATCATTAGACTTTTCCCTTAGCGAGCAGCTGGATGAAACCCACTATTTTTCTTAAAAAGCTTACTTGAATGTACCTAAAATTAAATGACATTTCAGCTTTTGAACACACCCAGGCTTCTTACTGCCAAAGGTCATCATAACTTTCACAAACTTAAAAAAATTTTTAATGACATTTTTGTAACAAAGTAAATGCCTGTCCTTTATCCTCCCCAGATTTTTAAACAAAGCCTAATTTTCAGAAGAGAAAGGTAACTGTGAAAACTCAAACTCCCAGCGTAACACTAGTCTAGAACTCTAATTTCATGGAACAAAGCATAGAAAACAAACTAAACTGTGCTCCAGAGGTTTAACCAGGCGGAAGCCAGTCTCCAAGATGGTCCCCAGAGATCTCCACCTCCTGGTCTCACACCCTTGCATGGTCCCCTCCCAACACTACACCAGGGTTATTAGTGTGTATGACCAGTAGAATACAGCAGAAGTGATGGTATTTCGTTTCTGTAATTAGCTTACAAAAGATACTACAGCTTCCGTCTTTTGCAATCTCTCCCTCCTATCACTCACTGCCACGTGCTGAGAAAAGGCACAGGTGGTAAGGAGCTGAGGCGTCTGGCAATCAGTCAGCAGGAAAGAAGCCTCCTCCTAACAGCTATATGAATGAACCTGGAAGTGGACTTTCTAGCTCCAGTGAAGCCTCCAGATGAACACAACCCCAGCTGACACCTGGACTACAACCTCATGAGACCCTGAGCCGGGACCACCAGCTAAGCCACTTCTGAATTCCTGACCCACAGAAACAGTAAGACAACACGTGTTGGTTGTTTCAATTTATTACACAGCAACAGATAATACAGATCTCATTAAGATGTTCTTAGTATCCAGGCCCTATATATTTTACTAAGTTACAAAGGATCTGTAATACTAATGAAGATGATTAGCTGCCTTCTTTATGACAGCTTAAAATTAATCGCTCCTTTTCAAGCATCATTCCATCAAAAAGAAGTATGATACTGTTTTGACAAGACTATAAAAGCATAGACATAAGGAAGAACCAAAATATGCCACTCTACTTATTTCCTTGGAAGCACCCAGGGGAAGAAACACACACACACTTAGGGACACATCATAGTCAGAACACAGACATGTGGTATAAACTCTTAAAAACTCACCTTTCTGTTAGTAGGAGATCGTTCCTTTTGAAACTGTTCACACTCTCTCTTTAAGCTCAATTTCTCCTGCTCTGTGGGCTTCAAAGTACCTGAGGAGTTTAGATGTTTTTGGTGCTTGGGGGCAAGAAGGTTGGATTCCAGTTGACGGACCTAACAAGAATATAAGAGGAAGAAATGCTAATATATAATCACACAGCCAGGAGAAACAAATGATGAACATAAGGAAAGGTTTTATTCAGTCCTTGGGTATTGTATTAAAAATACTTTTTTTCAGTCAAGTCTGCTAGTTCTTGAAGCCTAGTTTTTTGGATTTCAAATGATCCTTTCTAGGTAAGTCTATTTTTAGTCTGGTTAGGTCTAAAAACCCAACACTGTAAAGAACAAACAAGGAAGAAGGGGACTTCTGTCTCTAGCAAGCCGTCGGGAATCAAGAAAACAGACATTGTCCTGGGCACTTCTGCTCTGACATGAGCATAACTTTCAGGAGTGAATGAGGTGACAGTTCCATCAACTTTCTATTGGACTGTTCACACCGAAACAATGAATTTATATTAACTAAGTTTCCTGAGGAAAGCAACCATGCCTGTTCAGCACCACAACTTGGGGGACTGCAGAGTTTCTGGCACTGAGTAGGTAGGTGTTCTAAACGAGTGTCTGCAGCTCTTTAGAGAATTCCTCCATGAAAGAGGCATGTAAGTATAGGGCAACCATAGTCAGTCACTACTGAGCAGAGGTAAAGAATATAAACATCAATTTACTGGTTGGAAGAGATGATCTTTAAAGACCATTCTAACCTTGAAAGATTGAAGTTAATCCTTAAAGGCTATTCTAATCTCTAAACCTTGAAATAACTTTTAAAAAGGGACACATTTTATCTTACAAGGAGTTAGACCAACCAGATTTGAGCCTAGTTTTGCCATCTTTGTATTACTAGTCTTGGCGGCTAGCCTATTTGAATGAGGACTATATGGTTAACATAACTTCCATGAGTCTATAGTTTGGATATGAGGATTAAAATCACAGATTTTAATACAGAATTGCTTATAGAAAATGAAAAATATTGTATAGACAGACCAGGGTAAAATTAAATGAAAGTAAATGATAAATTATGTAGTCTTAAAATCAGTCTGCCATAGCAGAATACTCAAGTCCGTACCCTAGAACCATTTCAATCATCTCAAATATTCATTTCCACATCAAACTAAGCCTTTCCAAAAAAAAATATACACCACCATGTGCCACTTTCGAGTTACCTTCTCCCGGGAGTGTGTGAGTTCCGCTTTGGTATTCTGCACCACACTTTGGAGTCTCTCATTGTCTTGCCAAAGCAGCTGTTGTTCCTCATTCCTCGGATGATCTAACTTATCCCAAGAGAGCCTTTGCTGCTGGTTATGGAATCCTGATGGATGGGCGGTTACGTCTGGGGCCCAGTTCTTAAGAGAGAATTGCAGAGTTAAGCCTTAAAAACAAGCTGATTTCTGTTTTGAGTGTCATATTTACCTAATAACAGCAATTCTTAGTAAGTTTTAACCTTAACCTTTGTCTTCTAATGGGAGTGAGTATGTGTATATATAGGTATAAAAACCCCCAATATTACTGGGATTTGATTAAAACAAGGTTTGTAAATTCTCTGTTTAAAATGTTCTTTGGCAAAATAACCCCATCAAGTCTAATAGCAAAGGTGATTGTAGGGCAAGTCCTAGTTCCATACAGAACTCAAGCACATAGAGATTGGTGGCCTTAAAAACTGCCTCATTCTTATGAAGTGATTCTTTGAACCCAGACAACTACTCTTTTGGTTACAGAGGACACAGAGGGAACTTGGAAATGCACTGTTAACTTGAAAGTTTTCACAAGCTAAACTCTACTTTCATTTTCACATATGCAATCATATCCTTTTTTTAGATTCCAAAGCACATATTGTCTAAGTAATTGAGGCCTCAACACAGGAACGTGTTTTAAGCTATCAAAGTGATTATTTTTGGATCCCGAAAAATGCTTTAAAAAGTTAAAAAGGTAACACAACTAGATGAACCTTTTGCATTTTAAGCCAAAACATGAAAAAAAAAAAGGTACAATCTCATTTTGAGAAAAATGTCAGCCCAGAAGTAATTTTTAAAAATGGAAACTATTTTACTGTTTAAAAATCCCAGTTGAAAAGAAAAGTATTATAAAGAGATAAAATAACTGAATGAATGCCTACTTTTATGGGAGGACAAAATCTTAACATCTACCCTAAGACTGACACCTGTAACATTTATTTATGTACAGATAAGCAGCACTGTGATATAGTAAGAAGAAACACACATTCTTCAGCACCACAATGTTTCCGTTTTATTGCAACAAAGTAACTCACTCATGGTCTTTTGACTTGTGCAATACAAAAAGTTACCTTGTCACTATTGTTCCCATTTATATAAAGTTCAGAACCAAGCATCCCTAACCTATGGTGGCAGAGGGTAGAAAAGTGGTTCCCTTGGGGCGATCAACTAGAAGGGACACAGACGGCCTGCTGGGAGCTGGGCATGTTCTATGCTTTGAACTGGGTGGTGGTTATACAAACACAAACATACATACACAGGTATGTACAAAACCATATTTTACACATACATGTATATAAATAATCAAGTTATAGACTCAAAATGTGTACATTTTACTGTATAATGTTATACCTCAATAATAAAAAGAAAAGAAAATTACCTTGTAACCAGCATTCTGAAGTTGCTTATGTAATGACATTACTTCTTGTTTTAAAGCCTCCTTTTCCTGCTGAGTCACTCGTAGGTCAGAATTAATCTGGGACATTTGCAGGTTGACATCCTGCAGGGTGTCCTCTAAACTCTGAACCTGCATCATGAGAACAGTCTTACACTGTGACCCAAATCCTTCCTTATGGTATCACCTATAGCATGTCCAGGTCTGAAAGAGCTAGGACAAGAGAACATCCATGTCCCTTCTGTTTCTGCTTATCATATCCAGCTCTTTCCAGTAACTCTGTGGAAACCCAGTATATTATGCATATTTACAGGATGTTAAATTATATTTAGGCTAATGATGGACTATGCCTGGAGCAAGGTATTGCTGATAGAGTCATCTGGTGTATCATCAAGTGATACCTTACAGAACCAATGAGTATGAATGGGCACCACAAAAGATGCTTTTACTTAATTTTATAGAAATTATGTTTTAGCCTGTGGCATTGGTTTTTAAAAAACCTCTTAGTTGAAAATAAAAATATGTATTTACAGAAGCCCACTCCATGCTAACATCTCAATAAAAAAAATTCAAGTTGTAAAAGGAATGTTGATAGACATCTTAACTATATAATAGGGCATGGACCTGCCTTAGAAATCCTATTCCTAAATTAGAAACAAGTAGTTCTTTTTTTTTTTAAGATTTTATTGGGGAATTGGAGGAGGGGAACAGTGTTGGGGAATCGGGGAAGGGGAACAGACAAGTTGTTATCCTTTGGTTCTTCAGCCTAGTTGTGGAGGACTTTGCTTCACTGACTCATGTTGGTATTGTGATCATTGTGCTCTTCCCAGGTGAGGCAGTCGCTTGCCGGCCTTTGGACGGCCGCTCACGGTAGCTCACGGCAGCCCACTGCAGCCCCACTGTAGCCTACACCATCGCCGGCGACTCACGGCAGCCTAGCTCCAGGTCGAGCTGTTGTTCACCATCTTAGCTGTAGAGGGCGCAGCATCATTGGCCATCATGTGGGATCTGAACTGGGGCCCTGCTGCTCAGAGCTGGTGTCCCAAGCCAACTCTTAACCAACGTGCCACTTGGCCAGCCCAAGTAGTTCTTTTTACACACTAGTCTCAAACTTTCATCAATAAGTAATCTCATAATGATGAGATAATCTCATAATAATGAACTTTGAGGGAAATATTCAAATTATTTCACTACACTACAAGGATGTATCAAATATTAGTCAAATTGAATCATTCTGAGTCACTTCCACCTGGAATATTCTTTCCACTGGGAGCTCTGTTGGAAGATACAGGAAAATACTAAGTATGCAGATGAAATAGGAATTGTCCACATACCTTTTCCTGTGAAGCCACCAGCTGTAACTTTAAGCTTTCACTCTGGTGTTCCCAAGACTTCTGTTCTTGCTTCATCGTAGCAATTCTGTGCTCTAAAAGGCTTGATTTTGCCAACTGTTTTAAGAAAAGAAAAGAGGTAACGGCATTTTTGCAAACATATCTAGCCTCAATTTATATGCCTCCACTTATACTGAAAAGACCAAGTACTATCCATGCACATGGAGGAAAACAGCGAGGTGAAGAAAGAAGTTTTCCTGACTGACTCCCTGTTCTACCTTTAATTTCAAGGCATCGCTAATCTTTCTTTCCCATTGCCTCCGATTTTGTGGGTGAGAGATGGTGGACTGGAAGGCAATTAGAAATCTCAAGAGTGTATGGCAATAGGAAAATATGAAATACCTATTAAGGCAGGTGGGATAAAATCAGTGTTTTTGGATTTGCTAGGGAAAATACAATAGAAAAAAAAGTCTTTGTCTATGTAATAGATCTCAGATTATTAAATACAACAATATTATTTATATTAAATATAAGTAAAATAGTGATATATTTAAAATATATGTTTATATATTAAATAGATAATATTTAAATAATATTATATAATAACGTAGTATGGTTACATATTCAAATGAGACAAACTTTGTCGTATTGTGTTTAATAACACAACTATTAAGCAACTAATTTAGACTTCTGTTAAAATGACAGCTTCAGGAGCTCTAAGGTTCCGTAATGCCAGCTCAAATGCTATGTCAGGAGACTTTGAAACAATTAGGCCAATATGGGAGGCCCATACGGCACTGTGCATAGAGAAATGGTCATGACGGTACACACGGTACAGCAATGGTAAAAAGTTTTAGTTTTACTACCTTATCCGCACAGCTATTTAATTCTTCACTTAGAGCTTCCTTTTCTTTCAGCAGTTTTTCATTGTAGCTTAGAACACTAGAAATTTGTTGCTGGAAGTCAGAGAGATCAGGACAACGGTGCAGCTGTAAGATATAAACAAATGTGCCCTCGCATCGTTTCTCATGGCTGTATTTATACAGAGGTATTTATAAACAGAGCATGTTCACGGCTACTGTTACTTCCCTATCTGTAGCTATTTCAGAGGACATATAAACTCTAGTGGACTATAATTAACTTTAACAAAATGTTCCTTCTGAGCTTCTATCCATTCTCTGACTGCTGAAATGTCTGCTCAGACGGACTCAACCAGACAGACATTGTTCGATAATGGCCCCGGCTTCCTGTTTTACCTTCCGGGTAAAATAAATAACGTAATGCCATCCTGTCATCAATTTCACTTGTGTACTTATAGCATAATAGATTTTCCTCATGCCTTTTTAATTAGAAAAAAAAATTTTTTTTCCCCAAAAATCTCCATCAAGACTGTAGAATTGGCATAAAGCAAGTACAATGGATCAACACAAGGGCAAGTTTAAAGGTGAAACAATCAGTGTTTTTCAGCTTGCTCCATGTACCCTTCCCTTTGGAAGGTACCTAAATTGACTTGCTTAGTGAAATGTTGCTAGTGTAGACACACTGGCTTCTTGATCTCCACTTTATGGAATCAAGCAAACCTAAAGACCTTTTTTGTTCCTTTTCAGCATCAACCCCAGCACTATTGACATTTTGGGTCAGATGATTCTCTGTTGTGGGAGGCTGTCCTGGGCACTGTAGTTAACAGCATTTCTGGATTTACCTATTAGATTCCAGCAGCAACCCCTACTCCACACCAGTTATGAAAACCAGAAATGTCCCCAGAGACTGCTCAATGTCCAGGATGGGGGAGCAAGCCCCACCTACCCCCAACCTCTACTTTAAAGAGACTGTTTCTTATACTTCTTCTATTTTTTTAAAAAGATTTTATTGGGGAATTGGGGGGAGGGAAACAGTGTTGGGGAATTGGGGAGGGGGACCAGCCAAGTTGTTGTTCTTCAATCTTAGTTGTGGAGGGCGCCAGTTGCCATCTAGCTGCCCATCAGCAGCTCGTGGCTTTTAAGCTCAAGGTGCTGTGTTCAATCTTAGTTGCGGGTGGGCACAGCCACCATCCCATGCGGAAGTCAAACCTGCAACCTTGTTAAGAGCGCACATTCTATCCACTGAGCCATCCAGGCAGCAGCTCAGCTTAAGGTGCTGAGCTCAGTCTTAGTTGCGGATGGGCGTAGTCCATCATCGAACAGGTAATCTTGTTGTTACACCAGCTGAGCCATCCTGCCACCTGTTGGCAGCTCAGCAACAGCTCAGCTCAGGTACAGTGGCACTGGCTCATGTGGGAATCGAACCAGCGACCCTGTTGCTCAGAGCTCATGCTCTTAAGCCAACTCTTAACCAACTGAGCCACTCGGCCGGCCCTTTCTTACACTTCTTAACTCTTTCCCACAGTTCATACACTTTTAATTTCCCTCTGCTTCACTTGGTTTTCAAATTTTCAGTTCTTTATTATCATTATGATTCTATGGCCATCTTTCTGCTTCCCTATTTATTTTTTTAAAATTTATTTTACCCTAATTTTACCTTTAGAAATAGTATGACAAAATAGACTTTAAGGGTTGAATCTTGTCTTCAACTTGCAACAAATCCAGCATACCTTACAAATTTAAACAAGTCAGAAGGATATAGGAAATGTATTTTCAAGCACCTGGGCATTGGTTTAATAAAGGACCTTTGTCCTTTGCTCACTGCCTTGCCTCCCACCTCCAGACCCTCGTACCATTTTGGGTGTCTACAAATTGGCATTTGACTTCTGCTGATGCTATTCTTGTTTGCATTAGCAACAGCTAATGCAAGTAAAAGTGTTTTGCGAAGAGGAGTCATTATGTCATACAGAGCAGCACATGCTTTCTAGGTCCAAGCTATATATATGGCAGCAACCACGGGCTGACACCATCCTACTCTTGTGAGCCAAAAGAGTGCCACAAAACAACTTCTGCCAAAGGCAGACAGGGCTCACTGTTTCTCCATCTCATGATTTATATCAACTCCGCTGCCAAAAGTATGCAATAAAAATGTGATGAATGACGTCCTCATCACGCTCCTTTCCTCCCAGCTCCGCCCCTTTTCTTCTGATCTCTAGCTTAGCAAAGACACAGAGCACGCATTTTGCATGCTATGGATTTGGAACCCATCATTATCATCTTAAAGGCTGGACAACAGGCAGACTTTCAAAAGGTAAAAGAGACAAGTATGTCCAAGTTAATTAGGATGAAGTTGATAACAACAGCTTTGGAATGCTTACACACCAATGAAGGGCCCCGTGAGTTTTAACTTCTGGACCGTTTCTATGGATAGGCAGCATCTGTTATGGCAGAACAGATGCACTTTGCACAGCAGCATGTGACTTGAAATGCTCTAAAAATATCGATTAAATCCAACTGGTTGAATGTGTCACTTAAGGCCACTCACTGTTTCTGTATTGATTTTCTGTCTGGAGGATCTGTCCATTGGTGTCAGCGGGGTGTTGAAATGATAGTGTTACTGTTGGTCAGCATGTGACTTGAAAAGGGTCTTTTAAAGCACCCATTAGGTACCAGTACTGTACAAGGCATTATGAGAGACACAAATTCCCTAAGTCATATAACCCTATTAGGAAATCAAGACTGATAGGAGTCAATTAGAGACTAGCACAAACATTAACACTCAGTGGTACAGACTCAATATCTCAGCATTCAGGGAAGGGCACCTTTATGCTTACGGGCTGGAGAGATATGAGAGAGAGAGCTTTATAATCTAAGGATGTCATAATATTGAAGTAATGCTTTGCGGATGCAAATAAATAAAATGGGACTAAATTCTATTATAAATCAGGACTGCTCAAACTGAGAGTCCTGTACTCAAGGAAAAATTCAGAATAAAGAATAAAATAGGAAAATGTTAAGAATATAACTTTAAAGTAAACCCTCTTTGATACTTGAAGTTAAATCTTTGAAACTTTGACATAGGCTCCTTAAAGCTGAATTCATAAGTGAGACTGCTTCCCTGATAATACTCTAGAACTTACTCTTAAACCTTAGATAGATGCCTCATATTCACGATAAGAAAAAGGGATAAGAGGGCCGAGCTTCACCTGTGTCTCATGAATAGATAAGCAAGAAAGTCACACCTTCCTTTCAGACAAACTTACATTGCTTCATCACCTGGCTGCAAGAAAGTAGAACAACCAATTTCTTAAACTGAAGTCGTTGGGATTTATGTATAAGAATAGAATTTCAGTCTACAATGTATATGTTACATAACTAGAACAACATTTAGAGAATTAACAGTGGGAGCCTTTATAAATAGACTTGTACTGTGAGTCCTCAACTTTATTTACTAAGCAATAAGCTGGTTGACAGGATTCGGTAAAAGGACATTTGGTGGCTAGAAAAGCCAGACCACCAGGTCCGCATTGTTCAATGACCACCTTCCCGGCACCACCCCCTCTCCCACTCTCCCCCCAACCCTTTCCAAGCAGCACAGTCTTACTTACTTGTTTCATTTTCTCCAGTTCATCTTTGAGAAGGAGATTTTCCTGTTCCACAATATGAGTCTGTAGTTTAACTTCGGAAAGTTCTGCCTCCAGAGAAGACACTAAAGTAGAGGACTAAGAAAAAAATGTACAAGTCAAATAATATACATATTCATTTAGTCTGAGGAAACTTACTAGGTTCACAGAAGGCAGCGTTAAGGTATAAATTCAAAGACACACTGTTTTATGACCATTGATCTTTATACTCAATGGAACTAACTAAAACTATCTTTCAAAAGACTTCCCACATAAATGGCATGAACATGATTTGCAGGGTAGTTTTTGCAGGTTTCTCCACTGTAAAGTTGCTCTCTTTTTCTTTGGGGGACATAGTTTGAGACTATGCAAATTATGTTTCTCCTTATTAATTTTAGTGTCAATCAGTGGACTTTTGTCTACAACAATTATTACTCTGGCACTTGCCTTAGAATGACTTTCTATTTCTTTCTTTCTTTCCACATTAATTGGAATTTTACTGTAAGGAAGACAGTGTCTCTCCTCCATTTATTTACTTATTCAGTTTTTCTTATCAGTATAGACCCATAGATATTTTACTTTTTTTTGCCATGCAAATTTTAAAAATTCAATCAATCCCCCCCCCTTTTTTTTTTTTGCCTCTGGTTTATGAGTTGTAGCTAGACAGCCTTTCTCTACACCAACGTTAAAGATGAATTCACCCATGTTTTCTTCTAGGACTTGTACCGTTTTTTTTTTTTTATATTTAGACTCCTAATCCAATTAGAGTTTATCCTTATGTATGGTATAAGATATGGATCTAATTTTATCTATTTCCAAATGTCAACCTGTTGTCCAGGCACCACTTTTTAAAAATCACATCTTTACCCCAGTGATTTGAGAAGCTACCTTCATTATATGCTGTTTCCATTTATACTTGGGTCTAAGTCTAGACTTTCTAATTCAATTATCTGTCTATTCATGGGCTGGTACCATACTGTTTCAATTATTAAGACTTTATGTGTAAGAAATTTAACATAAGCATTTCTTTTATTTCTTGGGATTTCCTCCAAAAAGGCTGACCGGTGGCTACAGGCCATACCTGCGCTTTGCAGTGTTCCAGCTCCTCCCTCAGATGAGACTTTTCTTCTTGCCCTTCCTCAGAGGGGCTGTGTCCGGGCTGTTCATCCTGGCACAGCACTTCTGCCAGACGCTGATTAAGCTCTTGCAAGTCTTTCTGATTCTGAGAGTTCGTTTGGCTAAGTTCTATATTTTCCAGATCCAACTGCTGGTTTTTGGTTTTCAATTCTGAAATCTAATTAAAATTGAGATAAGTTTAAAAAACTAGTTGCCTTACTTCCGCCAAAAAAACAGATTTAGAGACTTCTTGCTTTCCCCTCTATGTGTATGTAGTTATACAGACACACACACACACATTTAATAACAGAAATAATACACAGTAATTATGACAAATTCAGTCACTTCAGAAGTGTATGAAGAAATGATAGGCACTCAGTCCAATCCCACTCCACATGGGTAGCCACTGTTCACAGCTAGAATACCTCCAGATGGTTTTCTATGCATATAGGAAACCCATGGACACATAGAGATTTTCTTTTCTTTTTTGTAACAAAAATTTGAATCATTTCAGATGTTTGGACAGCCTGCTTTTTCCATTTATAGACTCTTATCTTTCCAAATCAGTGCATTTAGAAACCATCACATGCTATATTTTTTAGTGGCTATAGGGTATTCCATATATCAAGATATTCCAGAATGCACTGAATCTAATTATGAAGAAACTAAAACAATCTTTTGGAAAATTCATTTACACATGGTAGGGTTTTGTATTTAGGGTCTTTTTTCTTTTTTTTAAGAAGCGGGCTGCTGGTTAGAAGGTGTGATATATGATATACATTACTGTTTTGATAGGTATCCCCAAAATGTCTTCCTCACAGTGCTACCACTTTGTAGTCCTATCACCATGAAATGGGTACATTCATTTCCTCACCCCTTTTTTAAAATATTAGATGATATCAAATTAAAAAAATTTCAGAATTAAGAAACACTGAGAAATATTAAGTATCTCTTTACCTGTGTCTTTAAGTTTTCAACCATCTTCTGAATTGCAGCTTTTTCTTCTTCTATAGTTTCTATTTTTTGCCTAAACCAACAATGAAAATATAATTTAAGAGCTAGGCTTTAACAGTTGAGGTAAAATAATTTTAGTTCTTGCAAAAATGCCTTAAGAAAATTTAAAACTATGTCTTACCACATTTCTTCCTGAGATCCATTTAATTTCTCCAATTGCAGGCTAGAAATGCTATCTTCTTCATTTAAAGTGGTAATTTCACTTCTCAAAATAGAATTTTCTTCTTGAAGCTTCTCAGATTCGTATCTGAAGTAGAGATTAAAAAAAAAATTACAACAAGGCAGTCATCTGACATCTTTGGAAAATACTTTCTAGTAACTTCCAATGAAACAAGTATTCCATGCCAGTTAAAAGGAGAAGTCTAAATTAGTACTCTTCTAGTACTTGGCAATCAAGTTATGACATATTGACTCATTTCTTTTGGGAAGTAAGAATTTCACTAAAAGACTTTGGGAAGCATGGCTAAAGCCCTTGAGCATAGAGACACAATGCCCACGCTGGCTACTGATTTTCTCAGTGGCAAGCAGACTGCTTTGAGCAGATAACTTCAATTATCTCCGTCTCAAAGAGATTACCTGCTTCAAAGAGACCATAGCCATACTACCAAGTTGCTTTAGTTTTAGGCCTCAGGGTACCTATAGCAAGGAAATTCACTACATAAATAAAAGGGCCAGACTGAAATATACACACTAACGTTTACTTTGGGATTTTTTCCATCTCATTATATTCTGATCTTTAGAACTAAAAATGGCCTGAAGTTAGAAGAGGAAAAACTACATCCAGAATTAAATTATTTTGCTTCATATCATTAAGATATTTCAGACATGATCTAATATTTTCCAAGTTTTTTTAAAAACCAAATTGGCTACAAGAGTATTGCAACCATATTTTATAAAGTCAAGTGAACATTGGTTCAAGTAGTTTCATTTTCATCTTTACTTTTTAAGCGTATTTATTAGAATCTGATAGCTCCTCAATAAAATTATATGTCCTAGTATAAATTTCCATTGTTTACAGAATATCAGCATACTTCAAGTGATATAAGTGAAAAACTATAAGCCACAAAACACATTTGTCCTATATTAGTATAAGAAGAGAGTTTTCTACCAAGCAAGTTAATTTAAATACACAAAAGCATTCATTCTTATATAATGTTTCATCAAAATGAGGAAAAATAACTAACATATAGCAAAAAGGAAAATCTATCCAAGTGAAGTGCTAGAACAGATAAAGACTTGACATACATTGATGATGCACGTGGTTAAACAGCAAACACTCCATAATGAACTTTCACACCCCAGGTGAACGACATCTATTTCCTACAGAGGAAGGGAATGCCTTCTAGGCAAGGTTATTCTATTTGTTAATATGACACAAAGCAGAAGGAAGTCTAAAGTACTTCTCTCTCCTTGAAGACTAACAGGTTAGTTTCTCTAGGTACAGCAAGCAGCGGAAGTTAGATTTGGCCAGGTGCTCTGTGGGATTCCGTGAAGGTTAGAAGGTACATACATTACCTCAGAAGTTCAACTTTTTGCTGCATCTCACTGCACGTGCTTTGCAAGTCATGCATCATGGCCTTCAGCTCCTCCTCCTTTCCTCCTTGAGAAGGTACATCCTTTTGCTTAACTAAATTAGTGACTCTGTCCCTCAACTTTCTAGTCAGCTCCTGCAGCTTTTCTTTCTCCATCTCTAACTCAGCTATCATGGCTTGACGCTGAAAATGTCTGTCTTGAAGGCTCAGGAGGGCAGTGTTTTCCTCCAGTATAACGTGGTTCTGTTCTCCAGGCTTTTCTCCATGTGTCCGGATTGTTCTGCGTAGCCAGGCAATTTCATGTGCTTTTACTTTTTCCAGGATCTGTGTATTCTGGTCAAGGTACTGGTTTTCTTGATAATGTCCTTCTATAATATGGCGTACATTCATAACCTGTGGCACACACTCTTCCAGTGTCTGATTTAGTTCAAGTGCCTTTTCATCAGGTTCAGCATCCAGGCTCTCTAAGTGGGTCTCCCATAAGGAGAAGCAGTCACACTGGAACACTGCTCTCTCTTGCAGCTTCCCAATCTTGCCTTGAAGTCTCAAAACCAGAACGTGCAGTTCCTCGTTTTCTCTTTTGACCTCATCATAGCTCTTCTCGAGGCTCAGGAATGTTTCCGTCACGTCTTCAACTTTCTTTAACTCATCCTGCAATCTCAAAACTTCTGAAGTGAGTTCTTTGTTGTTTTCTAGGGCTTCATCGTAGCGTGTCTCCATCACTCTCAGCTCTTCCTGGAGACAGTCATTTTCTCTACTAGCATCTTCATACAACAATTTATACTTGGGAGAAGCCTCCGGGATTCTCTCAAGCACATTTAGTTTTTTTTTGAGCACCGACACATCAAAAAGGAGGTCTTGTTTCTTTTCAGAAGCTCGATCGCAGTCTGCACGTAAGACCCTGAGCTGTTCCTGAAGTTGACAAACCTGGTTCTTGAGGTCCCAGGCTTCAGCCCTGGTCTCCTCACTATTTTCAAGCTCGGAAAAACTCTCTATGGATGCTTCAGACTCCTCTGTTTTGACCTCCTGTCTCTGAACAGAGCTCGTCCCTGTACTTCCCAGATCTTGAACCTCATCGTCTTGCAGGTCCCTCAGGACACCTTCTATTTGCTTCACTCGGTTTTGCAGTAAAAATGGCTCTGTTTGTTCCATAGAACTTCCAAAAAATCCAGTAGTTGGCTTATCTAAACAAGAAGACATTACTGACCCTGGCTCTAATTTTTGCAGCCTCTGTTGCAATCTAGAGATTTCAGTAGCCATTTTCACATTTTCTTTCACTGCTCGTTCATGAGCTCTCTGCAGGCTTAAGAGGACATCTCCATTCTCTTCCAACAGCTGCTCTCCTTGCTGGAGCAGGGACATGGCTCCACTTCCTTCCACCTCCTCCCCTATTTCCTGGCAGCCATTCTGAAGTCTGGACAGAGGAGGTGCCACCTGCTGCATTTCCTTAATTTTATTCTGAAGTCGAGCGATTTCTGAGCCCATCTCAGCTCTGTCTCGATCTGCTTTCTCACAGGTCACTTTGTGGACATTCTGCAGGACCAGGAGCTTGGACGTCATTTCCTGCCTCTCCTGCTCACGTTCCATTTCTAGCCTCTCGAGCCGCTGGTTGGCTAGCTGCTCCGAGACGCCTGCCTGGCACAGGACCTGCTCGTGGTCCTTCAGCTCTCTCTCGTGACTGCTTTTCAGCTCAAGTATCTGGTCGGACAGTAGGCTCTGCTGACTTTCAGACACATTTCTTAGGTCTTCCAGGTCTTTGAGCAGCTGCTCTCTCTCAACAACCATGCTATTCAAATGTTCTTTGTAGGTTTTCTCCAGCATCTCTCTCTCCTGGGTCAGGACCAGAGAAGTTGCTTTCTCCCTTTGGAGAGTCTCTTTGAGCTGCTCCTGAGCTTCTGCACACTCCTGGGTGAGCTCGTCCTTCTCAAACTCCCACTGGGCTCTCTCCTCACGCTGCTGCTCCAGGAACTCCTGCATCTCTTGGCGGTAGTGCCCCTCCAGGCTTCGCAGGGCATCTGCACATCTCTCTGTGACTTTCTGACAGTCAGCCTGAAACTGGGCTTCTAGCTCATAGGTTCTTCTATTACACTCAATTTCCATTTTTTCCCTAAATGTGGTCAACATACAGCATTACTAAAACTGCCATCAACTCCAGAAGCAAACAAGAAAACATTTCCCACGCATAGAAGAAGCTGCCAGGTCAACAATTTAAATACTTTCTAAGGATGGTTTTCACTTAATCCTTCTGGGATTCATTTACACTGAGAAGGGTCTCATTTCTAAGACCCATGGCTAGCAGCCATAATTCATTGAAAAGACTTAGTATTGAACCTTTATTTGCATTTAGAAGGAAAATTTGGAAACCAAATTCTCTGGCACACTCCTGGATGTATTTGGTTTTGGATTTTTTAACCAAAAACTTAAACAGGTATTTCATATTAAATGATCAAATGCCTATTAATGCAACCCCTCCACTTGGGAAATATATATAAAATTCTGTCATTTTAGTTAAGTATACATTGGAGGATAGTAGTCATATAAACCACATATGTTAACAAATTCATTATGTTTTTGCTTCTTATTTAATGTAGTAGCACTGAGTTCAACAGAGTATGAAGCGCCAAAGGCCTCAAATGTACCTGAGATTTCACGTGAGTAAGGCAAGCACAAAGTAGCGTTTCATAACTCTGGCAGGAAACATACCTTTGCCCAGAATCTAGTTTATAAATAGCTTTTCTCAGAAAACAACAGGACTGAACTAGGAAGGAACCACATTGACGATAATCTTATCCTCATGTGTAACCTTAAAAGATACAAGTCAGATAAAAGACATACTTTACTCTTTAAAAAAAAAAAAAAAAGGTTTCAATAGCCCCAGGGTAGGCTTATGTCTGCAAAATGGCAAAACAGGTTGAAAAACCGAAAAACCAAAATCTAGTCAATCAATGGGCTATTCTGCCTCTGATTCGTCCAAGTCTCCCTTAACGGACTGGAACGTCTGCCACTCCTGAGAGAGAGCACGCCAGGTCGCTCCATTTCCCCCGTTTTCTTACCTCCCCTCTTGAAGTTCCCTTTGGTGTTTTTCCAAGAGCTCTTGGCGTAACTCCTCCTTCTCAAGAGTGTGCTTCTCCGCCAGGCTTTTCAGCTGCTCCTGGTGAAACTGCTCCAGTTCCTGTGTCAGGCCTCTCACCTTGTCTTCAGTCCAGGCACCACTGTGAATAAGTCCTTCCCTCTCCCGGTTGTAGTTTCCCTCCGCCTGCTCCAGCCTCTGCTTGAGTTCTGCCTCGTGCTCCAGCCTCAGCTTCTCCTGCAGGAGAATCTTTTCCTCATCCCACTTCATTTGCAGCTGCTGTTTCTCCTCCTCCTGTCTGCGGGTAGTCATACGTTGTGCCTCCTTGAGCACCACTGCCTCGCCCTGAAGTTCTGCAATGTCATTTTTAAGGTCACTTATCTGCTTTTCCAAGATGTGTACTTCATCCTCATGCTTTTGCTTCATGTTCTCCTGCTCCTTTTCGCAAGCAGCCTTGGTTTCATCTAGCTGCTTTTCATAATGGTGCACCTAGAGCCAGAAAGCAAAGCCACCACAGTGTCACTCAACTCCAGGCCATGGAAACACGATGGGGGCAGAAGCATGTTTTTCCTACAAGACAGTCCTCAGTTTCCCCGTTTTGTTGTAAAGTAACAATTCAGACACACATGAAATAAGACATACTTAAGTCAGGCATGGTTTGCTTTCCTTTATTTTAACTTGGCTGAATCTTATTCATTTCTGAACAACTCTATGAAAACTGACTAAACCTTCACAGAGACAGCATTTGTCTTCCCAGGCATCTTTTCCAACTGCAAACTTAGGGTCTTAACATACTTAATTAAATTCATATATTTATTGAACACCTTTAAGGCAGTTTGCAGGCCTGGTGGGGGACACAAAGTTGGGTAAGGCTAGTAGTCCCTGCTCTTAAGGAGAAACCAGTCTAGCCATGGTTATGACAAACACAAACAAGTATACTACAAGGCAGAATGAAAAAATAGAAAAAGTATAGAAAAAGGAGCTACAATGTAACCAGGGGATTTAAAGGAGGGAAAAATCACATTTGGTGGGGAAATTCAGGAATGGGTTCATGCAATAAGTAACATTTGATATGAACTCTGAAGATAAGTAGACTTTCAAGAGACAGAAAGAGGGAATAACATCGCATGTAACAGCATAAACAAGAGGATAGTCTGATGATGAACAGCAGACCCCCTGGTTTGGCTGCAGGATAAGGTAACTCAAAGGAATGGTAAACAGGAAAAATGGAAAAATAAGTTGAAGCAAGAAGGTGAAGAGTTTTTAAGGCCAAGACTCAGAACTTGTACCTAATTTAGGAGGTAAGACTATATCAAAAGGCTTTTTTCCATTTTAAGACTGTTTTTCTAAAAAGCTGGAAATAATGTAATGGCCATCAAGTTCAATGCTTACGAGAAAATAAAGATATTACATTTGGGAGAAGCTCTGTGAGGAAAAGGCCTCGTGCATGGCCTATGGCCCCATCCTGAGGAGGTGGGCTCCTGGCAGCCACCAAGACACAAGAGGAAATGTACAGACAGTGCTGCCCTATGAGAAAAATGAACTGAGGCTGTCCTATATGCAAAAGCTTATCAGAGCTTAAAGAAATGAGAGGACAGGGTTGATAAGGACTTACTTTATCTTCAAGCTCCAGTCTTAAGCGGCACAAGTCCCTGTGATGGTGTTCCTTCATCTGCTCGATGACCAGCTCCGCCTCAATGCTCATATTCAGTGGGTTGCATTCTTCAGAACCAAGCCCTGAAAACACAGGATATCTGCTGACCCTGATCCTTCAATAACACAACTGGCATCGGAGGAGGGACATCTAGTTTAACGAGGGAATCATTTTCAGCCTAAATTGCCAAGATCAGATCTACTAGGAAACAACAGAAGCCAAGAGAAGTCTCTTTTGTTTTCAAGCACTAAGGAAAACAAGAAAAAATGAAGGCGAACAGATTCCTTCATGGACAGGCAGTGCACCAAACCTTAACAGAATGCATCTTTTTCGAACAGTAGGTGGGGGGTAGATGTGGAAATTGTTGCTTAAATGTGATCTCCTCCTAATGAAAATGCCATGGAGTGAGGTAGTTTGGTCAAACCAACCAGCCTTCTATTCAGCCAACAAATATTGAGTAACAAATTAGCAGAGGGGCAATGTGGCAGGAGAACCAATGACCAGCAGACTTGCTGCTATGCCTTGAGGTGTTAATTCCATCTCCAACCCACCACTCAACATCACAGATGACTGAGTATTGTAACGTTAATTTATTGTAGTGCAGGTAAAGCCCCATCTTAAACTATCAGCTAAGACTTTTTAAAAACTGATAAAGACTGACTGGGACTTTAAATGAACATAATCAGTCGGGAGGGTCTATGGGAGGAGCTAGGACTTATGGGAAGACTTCTCGCACCCTGCATAATTGTGAAAACCCTACAAGGAGAACTCCACGTTTGTAATAAAGCTTTGTGGTTCAACTTTAATTCCTTTTTCCTTATATAAACAACCCTCCATCTTGGCACGCAGGCCAGTGTGTGCACATGGTCTGCATGCATTGGGCTGCAACCCTTTCTTTTTCCTGAATAAATCCTTTTTGGTGACAAAACACCTAGTCAATAATATTTTTCAGTCGACAAAACAAACGGGGCATAGGTTAGGCCCATGGATATAGGCAGTTTGGGGAAAATTTCTCAACTCATCTATATGAGTTCACCTTTGTAACTTTGCTCATGATGATGACTGAGAAGGACACTGAAATAGAAACTGTTAAGTTGGGGCTGAGCTAGTACATGGACAAAATGATTATGTCATGTAGAAATTTCTGACGGCAGGGGACTCAAAAAGTTTTCCATGTGGGGGTACATAGGCAGATGGGAGAAAGGGCGTAAGTTTAGCATCTGGAATTGACAGTTTTGCACTGAGCTTTTGCTTTATATGTCATGGCATATTCCCAACTAAGAAGTGATACTTGGGGTATAAATCACCCCAAGATGGTACAGCTTTACGTACCTATAAGGAGAACCCCCCCAACACTTGGTCACCTATAGAAAAGTTGAGAAAAGCTTCTGAAATGTATCATATCATCAGTTGGGCTTCCTTCTTACACTACAGTCAGGCTGCAGACTTAGAATCAGAGGAAAGGTCTTAAGGCCTCTCCCTGTCCCTTCCCTAGTCCCCTATTTATTCCAAAATAAATACATAAGGAGAAGACTAAACAACCATTTCAAGAACCTGTATTCCTGTAACAAGTAGCAGCAGACAAAACCATAACTAGAGAATCAACAAAGGAATGGAAAAATCAAACCACAAGGATATTTGCTTTGTTTTTTTTTTAAAAAATCTTATTAGGAGCCCTTTCTGAAATTCAAACACACTGGAGGAGAGAGGCCCAAGACGAGGAGGGAGAAAAAGAGCTGATAATAAATGTAGGAGGGTTCCCAAACACCTCTGCCTTCCAAAGTTGCTACTCAAAATCTTCCTCAAAGGCACAGGCAACCAACACATATTTATCTTACTTGTTGTATTGCAGGGGGTAATGCAGACATTTAGCACAGCTGGCATAAGAACACCAATTTCTGTGGTTTCTAGCTGGCCTCCCGCTCCAAAACCATCACCATACCAGCTAGGCACTCTTTTAGAAAGGGAGGACTCAGCAATAGCTCAGCCAAATTCTAACACTCCCAAGGCCTGGATTCTCAGACTTGTGGATAGTTTTTTTAAAAAACAAAGCAAATATCCTTGTGGTTTGATTTTTCCATTCCTTTGTTGATGCATATAAAAATCAGATGGAAATATTCTCATAAAGACTTCAAGGACAAATGAAAAAACAGACCACAAGTGAAATAGCTCAAGAAAATAGTATTGCCAAAGTCGTCCTTTTTTTTTTTTTGGTTGCCAAAGTTTTTCAATTTTACCTTCAACCATGGTTCTAAAGAGAAAAGTCAAAGGCAGAGACTCGGAAAAGATGGGATCTAAATGGCTTACCCTGGTCAGTCTCAGGGCAGCCACTGTTAACATCAAGTTCTTCTGATAGTGAGTTCTTTAAGGGAAGTCTGAAAACTTTGCCTTGTGTACGATATTCTTCTAGCTCAGACTGGAGTTCATCCACTTGGTCTTGTAATACCTGGAGTTTAAAAAGCAACACAAGTCTTAGATGTGATACCAAAAGCACGAGCAACAAAAGAAAAAAATAGATAAATTGGACATCATCAAAATTAAAAACTTCTGTGCTTCAAAGGATACCATCAAGAAAGGAAAAAGAGGGTCGGCCGAGTGGCACATTGGTTAAGAGCTGGCTTGGGACGCCAGAGGGCCCCGGTTCGGATCCCACATATGAGGGCCAGTGACACTGCCCTCTACAGCTAAGATGCTGAACAACAGCTCAACCTGGAGCTGGGTTGCCGTGAGTTGCCGGCAACGCTAGGCTGCAGCCCCTGCTGTAGTGGGTTGCCATGGGCTACCATGTGTAGCCAGCAGCCAGCGGGAGTGGCCTTCAAGCCGCTGTGAGCGGCCATCCAGAAGCCGGCGACTGATCTGCCTCACCCAGGAAGAGCGCAATGATGGTGCCAACTTGGGCCAGCGAAGCAACGTCCTCCACCAACTAGACTGAAGAACAAAAAGACAGCAACTTGTCTGTTCCCCTTCCCCCAACTCCCCAGCACTGTTCCCATCCCCCCAATTCCCCAATTAAAAAATCTTTAAAAAGGAAAGTAAAAAGAGAACCCATAGAATGGGAGAAAAGTGTTTGCAAATTATATATCTGATAAGGGACATGTAACTAGAATATATAAAGAACTATTACAACTCAATAATAAAAAGACAAATAACTCACTTAAATATTAGGCAAAGGATCTGAACAGACATTTTTCCAAAGAAGATATACCAATAAGCAAATGAAAAGATACTCAACATCATTAGCCATCAGGGAAATGCAAATCAAAACCATAACAAGATACCACTTCATACCTGTTAGGATGACTAGAATAAAAAAGACAAACAATAACAACTACTGGCAAGGATGGGGAGAAATTGGAACTCTCACACTGGTGGGAATGTAAAGTGGTACAAACCCCTTGGAAAAAGTTTGTCAGTTCCTCAAAAAGTTAAACATACAGTGATCATATAATCTACAAATGTTCACAGTAGCATTATTCATAATATTCAAAACAACCCAAATGTCCATCAACTAATGATTGGATAAATAAAATGTGGTATAGTCATACAATGGAATATTATGCAGCAACGGAAAGAAATGAAGTACTGATACATGCTACAACATGGAACCTTGGAAACATTATATATTGTATGATTCCATATACATGAAATATAAAGAACAGGCAAATCTATAGATACAGAAAGTTGATGATTAATTGCTTAGGGCTGGGGTCACGGGACAGAGTAGAGCTAAGTGGAGTGGGAGTTTCTTTTCGAGTGATGAAATGTTCTAAAACTGATCATGGTAATGGTTGCACGATTATGTGAATAGACTAAAAAACAGTGAATTGTACACCTTAAATGGGTGGATCCTATAGTTATGAAAAGCTGGTAAAAAAATAAAGAAGTGGACGGAATTGGGCAATTTTTGGAGGTGGAGCTGACAGATTTTACTGATGACATAATTTTAAACACATAAAGAAAACACCTCTACTTGATTAGAGCCAAGAGCCAAAACTTAATTGTAAAAGCACCATAAATGTTTCATTTCTTTGCTCAAAATGCAAAATGTGCATATGTATTTCCTGAGAAGGCAGACTATGAGCAACCCCATAAGGAGGTGATGTTTCCCTCATTTCTGCATAAATACAATGTTCACCTGAGCAGTTAGAACTAGTTATGCTTACCTTGTTAAAATAAACAAGTGTTTGTGGTTTAAGAGAAAAAAAATTCAAATTCCTAAGGTTAGGAGAGTTACTTTTAAAAAGAAAAATTCAAGATTTTTATTATTTATATGAGGACTTTTTGTCTCTTCTGGTAGGCATTTGTAATGATTTACTAGTTAAAGATTTGAATGGTTTCTGCTTCATTTGCATTTTATAAATAAAATAATAAATAGATTCAGAAAAAAAACCCGCACAGGACAAAAGCAAATTACATCAGATTAGGTTTTTAATGATCCATCAGGAAAGGCTAATTTTGTAATAAGCACATCAACACGAACACACATTCCTCCACTCAGAATAAAAATACTTGCATTTTCCTCTATTTTGCAATTTGTGACCTAGATAAAGCAGGCTTAAATGCAGTTTATATGACTCCCTAATATTTCAGGATACTACTAATAATATTCATAGCAAGCAATTGGGTTAAGTGCTTACTATCCTTCAGGCTTTGTTTTAAGCACTCTCCATATATGCATCATTCATTGAAATTTCACAACAACCCTTCACTTTTACCATCTCATAAATGAGGAATTGAGGCACCCAGAGATAAGTGACTTGCTCATGGTCACGCAGCTTGGAAATGGTGAAGCAGGATTTGAACCCAGGCACGCCTCCACTTACTAAGTTCTGTTCAGCCACTCACCCTGCACTGCTGCTCATATTCATTTCTCATCTGTGTCAGCCTCTCCTCTTGCAGAAAAAATTCAGCACTGCTGGGATCAAGATCACCAAACTAGAAAAGGAAAACGGCAAAGCTGTCATTTTTCCCAAGTGTCCTTCTTTGACCTATCACATACCAAAGGCCCGTTTCTGGAGTTCACCCAGTCTCTTGAGCATGACAAGAATGTGACATTTAAGTAGAAACAACACCAACAGGATGATGGGAAGAACATACTAGAGCAATGTGTTCAACAAAGGAGGGCTCATTTCCCAGTGCCATGCAGTGTTTCCCTCATATCCAACCTCTTAAATTATATCCCTGCAAAAAGGACCACTTCTGTTAGCCACCTGAATAATTCCCTGATAGAAACTGTCTTGGTGGCATTGCTTCTGCTCTATTTGAGCAAACGACACTTTGGGCTGCATATCAGGGAATCAAATTTAAACAGGTTTACCTTTTCTGCTAACACATTTTCCAAATTTCGCTGAAGCTTGTTTGTCAGATTCTCATACTCTGCCAACTTCTCTGCATTTTCCAGAAGCTCATTTTCTAGACGACTGTTTTCCTGAAGAAATGTGGGGAAAACAAACAGGCACGGATTTAAAAATAAACAAACCATTGTACCATTTTATATGAGGCATAAATCAGTGCTCTAGTTGAGAAAATGTGTTCATTCTGAACGTTTCAGATGAGACAAAAGTAAATATTAAAAAATTGGTATTTATCTTATATCCTGAAAGTCTGCCTCCTCCTTTTTTTGATCTTGCAGAACTATGCTGTCCCATCTGTAGCCACTAGTTGCCACACATGGATACTGAGCACTTGAAATATATGTAGCACAAACAGATGTGCTGTAAGTAAAAAATAGCAGATTTCTAAGAGTTCATATTGAAGTAGTAATTTTTGTATATTGATTACATGTCAAAATGTAATGTTTGGAGATTCTGGATTAAATAAAGTGATATGAAATTAATTTCACCTGTTTCTTTTTACCTTTTAATGTGGCTATTTGAAAATTTGAAATTACATATATGGCTTGTATTATATTTCTATTGGACAGCATTGCAGTGAAAAATTTAATGACACAAAAAACATTGTCAACACATTGTCAAATAAAAGAAAACTGACTACAGAATAACTTGTTCAGATGACAGCAAAAGAGAAGTCAGAGAAACTACAAAAAGTAGAATAACTCTAAAATCAATTTTCACTTAGTGATCTTATAGTTTGGTTTATATTTAATTTACAATTTTATTTTAGTTTAAAGATGTAAAAGCTACACATTATAGGTTTTTCATAACTGGTATGTTTAAATTATTATAATAAAATAACACATCAACTGAAGTCCACAAAATGTGGGAGTTTTTTTCTGTATATATTAATATAATACTTGTTAGAGAGCTTTCCATGCACATTTGTTAAAAAATACATAAAATAAAATCACGCAGACGTGCCATTTGACATATTTTCTATTCTGATGTTAAAGGATGGTAGGAAGAAAATTATTCTCAAGGCACATACTGCCAAAAGAATATAGAGCCAATATATTTTAATACATTCCAGTTCACACCCTCACACAGCAATATGGAGTAAAACAGAATGTGCTTGAAGCATTAAAAAAAATACTACCTTCCCCCCAAATGCCAATTCTACGACTCTAACCTTTCCAAGTATGTCTAAACTTAGATGTCAAAACACTGAGGAGCAATCTCGGTGTGTCGAGCCTGTGCTGGTGCTCGGGACACAGAGGAATCAGGTTCTGTTATTGACCACAGAGAATGCACAATCTAGACTGTGGGGAGAAGGACAGATATGGATACAATTATCTATGACACAACAGAAAATACGCTATCTCCGGTAAGAATAAAGTAAGTGACACGGGAACAAAAAAGTAATTTGGCCTGCAGTGTTGGAGAATGCAGTAAAGGAGCATAAAAGCCCACTAAGGAACTGTGAAAGCTGATGGCAGATGCGCAGGTGCAGTGGGGCTTGGGGGCACAGCACTGGGCATTGCTGGTGTCAAAAAGGACAAGCCCCGTTTTGGGGGTCTTCAGTGGTACAACACTGCATTTTTACAAAGGGTGGCAGCGTGGCCGTAATGTTCTTTAGTAAGGTGACTCTGGTGGCCCCATGGAGATTGGATAGATAGAAGAAAGGCTGCACATTAAGTCCACTGAGAAATCAAGATGAGAATTCTGAACCTATTCAGAGCCTGTGGAAATGGAGAGGAAGTGGGTAAATCTGAGAGGCATTTCAGAGCATCAGCAGGACTTAAAGACGGATGAGTGAGGATGACTGAGGATTTTAGCTTCTGTGGCTTACAGCACATTCTGATGATAGCGATTATGGAGAAAATCCAAGAGGAGTAGTTTGATGGTTAGGGAGCAATAATTAGCTGTTTTTGATGTGTGGAGTCTTGGGAACCTTTCACAACCTTAACAATAGTGAATATTCCATATGTACTTGTTGCCTTCCAGACACTGTGCATGTAGCATCTCATTTAATCCCCCATCAGTGCTGTGGGGTATTACGATAATGCCCATTTTGCACATTAGGAAACAGGTTTGGGTAACTTGAACAAGGTTTTCCAGTAAGTCGTGGTATCCAGATTGGAACCAGGCAGTCTGAGTCCAGAATCCCCAACCTCCACCCATCACTAGACTATGCTGTACATATTATCTGGTGTCACAGTCCAACAAAGAGAAGGATCACTTCCTCTACTGAGGCACAGCAAAGGACCGGAGGATGTATAAGGGAAAAGGCACATTTGGAAGCAGAGAATCAAAGCTGATGGGCTGTGTGGCAGGAGACAAGGCCATTTGCTAACAGTAAGGGGGACGGGGTGGGCAGGGAAAGGAGAAGACACCAACCAGGTGCCAAACAGCCCTGAAGACCCAGTGCAACTTCAGTGAAGAAGAACAAGACATACTAATCAACACTGTTGGCAAACCAGCACCCTGGATACTCCTGAAATCTAGATCCCAGGAGGACTCTGCCATGTCTGGGTCATGACCCAGGTGTGTAAACTGACAGGAACCCTTGGACTGAGCCCTGAGCAGACCTGCCCTCTTACAGAGCTGCGGTTTTCCATGCGGTAACCCCAGCAGGGCACGACCACAGAACTACTAGGATGATTACCTTTAAAGAGAGGGCAAGGCGGTCCCGGATATAGTTCTCTTCTGTTTTTGCCTTTTCAATTTCTTGCTCAAGTTCCAAACGCTGCTTGCCCACCTGCTGCATGATCTGCTCTCTCTCCTTTCGGAGTTCATTCTTTAAGGCTGCTATGCGCTCCTTGTACTCTTCATCCAATTTCCTGTGAGGAGGAAAGACCAACAAGCTGCCACCAGATCCTTCAGGGATCCCTAGGTGGGTCCACCAAAACATAAAAATACAAGTCACAGAGATGGGAAGTAACTTGAGAAGTTATCTAGTGTATTCTGCTTTCCTTTGGCTTAGCCACACCGAAGTCACTCCAGCCAGGTGTGGCCAAGCAAGTTGGCAGGCTGAGCCCCACGGCCCCGGGCCAAGGTGGTGGGAAAGGAGGGGCCTTGTCCTGCCAGTCGCACCTGAGGTTGTACTCATTCCGTCGCTCTATGGCTGCATGGTGATCGTCCACCTCTGAGGCCATTAGAGACTTGAGCTTCTCAGCTTTGTCCAGATCTGACCGTAGCTTCTCTTTTTCTCTGACCACTTGATCAACTCGCTCCCTAGAATCAGAAATAAATCGAGTTAAAGGGAAACTGTTTCTAAGCAACAAGTAGACCCCAGAAATGCTCTCATTTGGCTTGCTTCAATACAAACACAAAACCAAGACAACCAAAATCCCTCCACAACAAAAAGACATTCCACAGCTGCCTTTAAAAACCCACAGGCAAATCTAAGCTCTCCCTCATTTTACAGGAGAGAGATGATAGGAGATTAGCCACATTTGCATAAAGAATAAAAGAATGTATGTCACAGGCATCTGAATGACATGCTGGACAAGTGAAAATGGGAATGGAGCAGGTGACCCTTGTACCCAACTCACAGCAAATGCCGGATCTCAGCTTTGAAGCTCGCCAGAGCTGCCTGGTGAATGCCACTCTTGGTGACCAAAAGTTCATTTTCAAGAGCCAGTGTCAGTTCTGTCAAGTTGATGTTTCCATCAAGGCTGAAATCCAAGGCCTAGAAATCAGAACAAGTTCAAGACAATCACAAGTTCTATCCTCTGAAAGAAGAAAATGGGAGGTTAACAAACCTAGAGAACTGAACTTACATTCTAGAACAGGGGTCGGCAAACTTTTGAGACGAAAGAGCCAATCCTGTCTCTCACAACAATTTAAAAATTATTCGAGAGCCATAAAACAAATGAAATCACCATTATGTGAATAATATCCTTTAAAAATTTTATAAATGAAACTATGATAGTTTTATTTTCATTTTCAATTTTACTTCAGAGCCACATGTACGTACTGAAAGAGCCGCATGTGGCTCGTGAGCCAGTTTGCCGACCCCTGGTCTAGACTCACAGAGGTTCTCAACCTTTCACAGGGGTCACCTAAGACCATCAGAAAACACATATTTTCAATAGTCATAGGAACCGATACACCACTCCTCTATCCGTCTCCAGGCCCATATGCAGATACACCCACATACGAGTACCCGGCAACCCTTGTGAAAGGGTCGTTTGACCCCCAAAGGGGTCGCGACCCACAGGTTGAGAACCATTGCTCTAGAAGATGGGTGATTACATTTTTTTAGTGCTCGCTAAGGAGCAATCTTCAATCCAGAACATAATTAAGTTCTCTTTAAGGAAACCATAACATGGTTATTTGCATGTGTTTCAACAAAATGCTATCTGGCACTTTAAATAAACACAATGCTATAATTAATTCTAATCTTTACCAACTAGAGATCAGTTAAGAACATTTCTCCTGTTGGTAATTTAGGAGTTAAAAAATGGAAAGTAGACTCCTGGTTAAAGGGGGTAGAAAAAGTTACTTCTTATCTTTGAGATCTTGTGAATAGAAGAATCATTAAAGAGAAATCAAATCAAGTCACAGTTTAAAAAAAAAACAAAACCTGGAATTTTTCAACTCTTCCCCAATTTCTCATTTTTCTCCCACTTTAGCTGCCACACCTTCAGGATCTCCTGGCTGTTCTCAATGCCCTCTTCCTGCCAGGTGTCAAGTATTCTCTCCACTGATGCGTAGCCCATCCCATCATCCAGGCAGGAGAAGACCCGAAAGCCAATGGTACTCGTCATCGCAGATGGGGTTGTAGTACGTCGTCCACTCTCATCAAAAGACTGGAAGAAGAGAGATTTGAGCAAGCTCAGGCATTTCAACAAGATTTTGATCAAGACCAAAATTAGTCAGTCCTGACCACAAGGAACAGAAGGCACGTTTCCCTAGTTTACACTGCTAGAAAAACGTCATGCAGTCCCTTTGATCTCCTTTTCCCAATTGAGTCAAGAATACAAAGCTTATCAATGATTGATCTGGTAGAGAGTTCATTGACATTAATGAGATGTGTCTCTACTTAACACCAGGGTTCTTCTTCATCTATAATAACATTAAAGGGCATAATTAGTGGTCTTCCCTCTCTAATTTATGGTCATTTCTCAAAATCCAACTTTTCCTTCCCAATGATTTAGTCTTTCTTTCTTCTTCTTCTTTTGCTTCTCTCTTTCTCCTTAGTATTTTTCTTCAGACAACAGATTAAGTCATTAGAAATTATTCAAATGGTTTAATTTCTACTCACAAAGAAACCACCTCCTATTTATTGCTTACCTGCATGGAGAGGTGCCTTTTCAATTGTCTATATGGAGTAGATGCTGAAGGCGTAAGGGATTTTCCATTTTTGAACAAGCCATAGAAAAAATCTTCTACACTCATTGTACCATCAGGATCAAGATTATGGAAGACTTCCTCAAGCATCTAGAGAAGGGTAACCATATATTTTAAATGTTTCATTCAAAATAACACAAGGCCCAAAGTATACTTCTGGCCAATAGAAAGTGGCACCACTGTTGATTTCAGGAATCCAGAAATACAACATGTCCCTTTATTCTCATTTCATTGAATTTATTTTCCTTTCCAGTAATCTGTCCTTCCACCACACACAAACTGAAGTCTACTTTCAACATCTTCATGATCTTTATACAATCTAGCAGTTAACTGTTTTTCTCTTTTACTCGCACTCTTTAGAACAGGTAATCTTTAATGTTACTACACATTATTCTCACAAAGTAAAAAATTACTTAAAAATATAAAGTTACAGCTTCCCAGTGTTGTAACAGTAAAAATTAGTTGGACATTAATTGAGCCATTATACTGTGGTACTACAATATTGTGTTTACACTGAATTTGTGAAATTGGTATGTGAGCACAGCAGAATTTGGTCTGGGACAGATTGCAATGATCTAAGACTTTGGGTCTGAAACCCATGACTTGGGATTTAAAATGTTACTTGGAACAATACTGTGTGTTTGGGGTTTTTATTGGTTTTAATGCTTTAGTACAGGAGAAACAAAGATTAAATAAAAAGGATTTTGTGTGCATGCAATAGAGGGTTCTGAGAGATGGAAAGAGCAGGGAATTTTGCCTGGCTATTTTGCACCTTCTGACAGTAACCAAGTAGTCCTCATCAGATATCGATAACTGGGGAAGGGGAGACTGGACTACAGTCCCTTCCAGAGGCTTGCCTAGAAGACGGTTTGTTCCTTAGCTCAAGAGAGGGATGGAAAGAGGAATTAAAGCAGATGAATCACATGGAGGGAAGCCAAAGACCTCCTTCCTCCTGGCAGTCAGATTCCTCTTTATTTTGGGAGCTAAAATTTTTCAATAGGGACACGCCTCCAATGTACAAGATAGAAATCACCCAAGGATCTTGTTACAATGCAGACCCTGACTGATATAGTTAAGTCGGGGGGGGGGGGGGCACACGAGAGTCTGTAGTTCTAACAAGCTCTCAGGTGATGCCCATGTTGCTAAGTAACAAGGAAACAGAATAAACAACAAATCTACTCTTGTTGCATTAGAGCTTACAATTATAATAATTGGGTCCATTCTAACAAAGACCTCTTTGTAAGACATCCTCAAATTTTCAACATCCATTTTGTAAGTCTGGAGTATTCCTAGGGTTCGTGTCACCTCAGAATTGTTGCTTTCATTTTTGTTAAGTGCTTGAGGCATTTCCTTTATCTCAAATGTTTTTTTTCCAATTCATATCCAATAGGAAACATCTGTATTCTTATTTTTATGCCTCTTCCTCTGGCGAGGACTCCAAAACAAGTAAACCATTCTAAAGAATGGAACTCTTTGGCAGAAGCAAAAGTTCCTAATAGAGAATTGTGTAATGAAACCAACAAAAAGGTATTGTGGGCAAGATTCTGAGGTCAAGATCCCTTAGCGTTCGGTCTCGTTCTTATCAAGCAAATAAACACTTTCGTTGAGGACTAGGCTTTCAGGGTCATCGCACCAGAAGTCACAGTAAAATCCAGGTGTGCTGACTGAAGTTGACAAGCATATTTTGGCTCTAACCTTAGCTCCACACTGCTTGGGCTTGTGACCCTGGCATATCAATGCAGAGCTTCCGGATCACCTAAACACCCAGCCCTGCATCCATCCAAATGGTAGAGCAAGCGGGTCCTGCCAGTTATTGCGCATGGAGGAGTAGACAAGTGGCAAATAAAAAGGACGTGCATTCAGAAGAGGGTGGGTGGGCAGGGTCGGGCCGAAAGGAATGTAAGTCAAATGGGCAACAGGGGCACCCCTGCAGCCTGTGCAGTAGCCGAATCCAGAACCCCGAGGACATTCTCACTCCCCATGATACACCAGCCAGGTCTTTGGATGGTTGACTTCCCAATGAGTACGTTGCAAAATAATGCACTAGAGTAGGGACCATGAACCCAAATATCCAGAGAGGCCCGGAAGGTGATGTAAATAAATGAGGCAGGACGGTCTTGGGACATTAGAAAGTAGTGCCACATAAAGCAGTGAACTGAACGCATGAGTGCATGTGCTGCCCAAAGGAGCTAAGCACTTCTCACTGACAGCAAAATAGGGCCAAATCTCCTGATGTTTAGAAAAATCTCCTGATTTTCAAAAGTGCAACAAAAAGTTCGATTTTTAAACATTGGGCAGGCTATATTTGGCAACTAGGGTGACAGTTTGCCATCCCCGCCCTACAGCTGTCCTTGCTTCTGGAAAGCAGGGCACTAGTTACAGCCCTAAGACAGTGACTCCAGACCCCTCTTCATGGGAACGGCAACAAGCAGCAGTGATCTCACCCTCTTTATCTATGAAATGGGGGGGGGGTGACTAGATCTAAAACTGCTTTCAGTCGTAAAATTCTAAGATTCCAAAATGTATCTTGATGAGATCATCTTGAACTTTCAGCTCCTCTGTGGTCTAGAGCTAATAATACAAAGAACTACAGTATTTCATGATATTTTTTGGGGGGCAGAGGACACTAAGTAAAAGCTATATTCCATAAGCAATCCTTCACTTATCTTTGGATCAGAGGAAAATAACTAAATGTGCTACTTCTTTTCCCAGGTTCTGGAAACGCCACCACAAAAGATGCAACTCCCCACCAATAGTTACAGTTTATGCCAAGAGTTGTTCTTAGATAAATAATCCAAGTTTGTGCAATATTTCTTGGCAAAAACAACCCAAGGTTCTACATACTACACTGGTTTATAATTTAGGGGGATGCATTTAATTTTATGACTCAACAGCCCCCATTGAAGGATAAATGACCACCATGCCATTAAAAGGGTAATCATAAGCTATATTACGGTCACATATACAAGGAAGAAGGGGGAAAAAATGTTTCTGCAAGCCAGGCTACTTGGAAGCTTTTGATGATAAATCTCTTTCTGGTTTAGGAAAATAATACCGCTTATCCCCTGAGCAAACAGAAAGCATGGTTTCAGATATCATTATAATCAAAGATTCCCAAAGCTGCAACTGTAGCCCTAACCTCTAAGTCCCTCCAATCCTTATTTTCGGCTCTTTGAAAGACATATCTTGGAATCGTTTATATTCTTATGTTTCATGACTAATCATGTGCCCGGTCCTGCCTGTTCCCCTCTTAACTTTTCAGAAAACGTAAAGCTCAGAATTTTACCAAGCAAGGGTCTTTTGGGGGCTCCTTCAAGACTTCTGTGTATCTTCGAAACCAGCAACCCACCCTTTTCCATTTCCTCATGACCGGAATATGGTAATGGCTCCTGGCTGGTCTCCTAACCAGAGGCTCTCTTTACACCAACGTACCCCTTAAAAGAAGCTCAGACCATACTCAGCACGTCAGTTTTTCTGGTATATTAGTCAGTCTTCTGAAGAACCCAAGGATACTATTAAGATCCTCTCCAAAAACTTAAACTCATCAGCCTGGCCTTCAAAATATTCCTCCAACTCAAATCTACTGAATCCCCTGCTTACTGCTTCCTCTACACCTTTCCCACATGCACATTTGGTGAATGCTACATCTACAAGTTCATCTGACATCATGGCTGCACTGAGCTAGTGTGATAAGAATGGGGGGTAAAGTGCTTAGCTCTAGTTAAGAGTCAGCTATTGTCAGATTTTCTTTTCTACAACACATGAGCTCCTCAGAGACAGAATCTTCATGGCTTATGTCCTAGGAAAAAAAGAGAATGGAGTCTCTGTAACACGCTGCAGGAGGCCAATATATGGCTGTCCCTAGCCTGTGGCCAGTTCATCTTTTATCATGATTGTTATTCCTGAATAAAAACAGGATGCAAGGCTTACCTCTCCATCGACATTCTGCAAGCCGTACTGCTCACAGATGGAGACCAGCTTCTTTCGGTTCAGGTGACCATCGCGGGTAATCCCCAAATCTTCACAAACCTCCTGCAGTTTCTCTTCTATCCAGTCTTGGGGAGGGGAAGACCCACTTTGGGAGGCATTCAAATCATCTGGGTTCCAAAATTTTAACTGGCCTGAAATAAAAACATATAGTGTGTTGTCTCCAAAGGGATTGCAAAGAGAGAGACCTATTCTCAAGAGAAAATGTGCTTTTTGAAAGTAAATACTGTAAGACAAAGACTATAAATGTTGATTCCATTTTGATTTGATTCTGAAGTTCAAATGAAATGGAACCATTGGTTCTTAGGCTGCTACTAGAGCGAACAGGCACTTATTTGTTCACTGGCAATCATACCCGTGTAAGAAATATCTCCTATGCAGTCATGCCAAGATTCTAGTCTTGTTTTATTCCAGCTGAAAACATGTACAGGCTGAGGCTTTGGTATGATCTGCAGAGAAGGCTGGTTGAGAGGCATTCCAAAGAGCTTTACACGCCCTGCCTCCACTAGAGCTACCAGACTTTATTATCTCTACTTTCTTTCTAGTCTGAGCACAAGGACTGCTTTTATTGAAAAGAAAAATAATCCATGATAAATATCATAAAATAATCATACAAGTCTCAAGATTAGCATGCTCTCAAATCTTTGCACGTATGAATATACTGACCTACAAACAATCCAGTGTGAAAGAATAAATGGTTACAAGCTGCAAGTTACTAATTATCTATATGTTAAGGATAAGTTCTATTTGAAGACTTAAGGATCAAGCTATGTATTTTAAAATCAAAATGTATTTATCTTCCATCAAGAGTTCTCAGTTCTAGTTCAATTTTCCACCTACCTATTAGAGATTCTGTAAAGTTATTACTTAAACATGAGATAATTACTGGTACAATTTTGTGTGCCTGGGAAGAGCATTCAGTGCTACCCCTGCTATTTATTGAAGAAATTAAGCCCATTACTGCTGTGTCTTTCCAGGTTGGAGACCTAGAGAACAAGTTGCAATTAGACTTAAGTACAGTTAACCCAGGGTGGGCTGTGAAGCCAGCTGAGGGTCTGTCAACTGAACCACAGTGCCATCTGCTGGCCAGAAGATGAACGTGTATTGATGCTTCTTGAATACATAGAAAACTCGTCAAGAGATAGTCACGATTTAATTTAGGACTGTTCACAGATTAATTTCAAAGTCTATATAAAACAGTAATTAACCCATAAGTGAAAATCTACATCTCAGTTCCCATATCTAGCATGATGTTAAATGTTAGGATTTTAAAACTAGGAGCTATCAGTTGGGAATGAATTTTTTTGTCGCTGTTGTTCTCAAAGTTACTTCCTAGCGGGCCTCCAGCATGCAAGGCTATTAGGAAGAAGGCTAAGAGATGCAGCAAGGAGGGTGTGGAGTGTGCTCCGTGAATGGCAGTCCCTCCCTCCAGACAGGCCCCAACAAACACTCAGTTCCTACCTTCCGCTTCGTACTCCTCACTGTGTTGTGTCTTCCAGTGCTAGAGAAGGCAAGAGAAAAAGATTAGTGTGCTTTAGAATTTACTCAGTTTTTCTAAGACCAGATCACTCTCTGGCTCTGAAATCATCATCTGAGTGGGTCACACGATTCAGGACCCTCTAGTGCTTTCTCGTCAGTCAAGCAGCCAATCGAGAGGAGACTCCTAAGAAACACAACACAGCCTTCTGCGGTATTTCACCAAGATTTGCCTTTCACATTGGTGAGGTCACTTTCTCAACAGCAAAACCTGTTGCAACCAATAAAACCAAGCCAGAGCAAATATTCAGAATCCATCAACCAATAAGGGTTTGCAGCCATGCATTTATGAATTTGCTCTTCAATAAATGTTTATTGGTTGCCAGGTATCACACTACATGTTTGGGATACAAGTATGAACAAGACAAACATATTTCTTGCCTCGAGAAGTTTGTATGCTAATGAAGACACGCAGACAAAACAAAACAAAACAGGAAGTACAATATCATACTGTATTAAGTGCTAAGCTGGGGATGTTCAAGATGCTACGAGGGTGCCTAAATGGGATCCTGCAGGCTTGGGAGATCAGGGTACACTTCCTGAAAGAATGTCTGCATTGAGACCTGAAGGATGAGCAGAAGACAGCCGAGTGAAAAGAACGGAGCAGTTACTGTTTACTGAAGCATGGAGGCAAGAAAGAGCACAGTGAGGCCATGGAGATGCAACCCAAAACAGGTAGGCTAGAAATCTCAGGTCCAGTAAAATATATACTACTGGTAAATTACATGAAAGCAGTGGAATTTATCTGAACTGGGCCAGTGTGCCCTCTTATTGTGCTGTGTTACTACGTCACAGCATCGAGTTGTGGTTTGCGTTCGTGCACACAAGCACCCAGCCAAGGACACAGGTCAGAACCAAAATCCATGCTTTGCTCCACTGGCTTCCCCGGCACAGGTCTGCTCCAACCAGTGGCAACAAGTGCATCTGCAGTGGTGTTGGGCCTCGCCAGCAAGCTTCCTAATCACTCCTGTTGGGAGGTTCGACCACCATCGCAGGAAACCTTGTTGGGAAAAGGTGTATCCCCCTGTTCAAAACCCAGCTGCTGTCTCAAAAAGAGCCAATTTTATGAATGAAGCTGTCTTTCACAACAAATACACAACCCATTCTCCATGATGGCTGAACTGATTTCTTAGAACCCTGAAATAAACTCAACAGGAAGATGAGCCTCGGTACCTCCTGTCTCCAACGCTTGGATTCCTCATGGCAGATGGCGGGCCACCTAAAAGTCTTAGATTAAATGTCCACTTTCAGAGGCTTGTTCATGTTGACATGAGTTGAAGTACTTCCTTCAGGCAACCTAAGCACCTCTACTCTGTTCCTCTCCAAACGCACTTCTGCTGGTCCTTTCCTCGTAACTGAAGAACAACTGTCTACCAGGGTTTCACGCTTCTATATTTTACTTAGAAATATCCCAAAGATAGCACCAATTCAGCAAGTTCACTGAATTTTGCCACACTAAACTGAAACCACAAACTGACAATGCTGAGATGAATTCTTCTTGCCATACAGAAAAGACACAAAAGGCCATAACTCAAAATATATAAGTTCACTACAACTCATTCAGATTACAACTGAAAGTCACTAATACACATGGCATCTGTGAGAACTGAATTAGTGCACAGTATGATTTTTGTTTGTGATTACAATTTTATCAGCTCACACTTCCACATAAAGGCATATCTCGAACCTAGTGGCTGTATAAGGTGAGGTGGGGGCGGGGAGGGAGCAGTGCAGTAAATAGTCCTCCATAGATTTTCTTACATTATTGTTTCCAGGTAGAATTCAACTATTTTTATATAAAGCTTTAAATCAATAAAGTCCCACTAATAAAAGCATCCTGCCTGTCTGTCCCTTCATCTTTATTTCCTCATCCAACAGAGCAAATAATTTAAATGCTCATACTATTTTGGCACCTCAAAGGTGGAAGAGCATTATTCAAAATGTAAGTTGGAAACACCCCAAAATGAAATCTAATGTCTACCTAAAACAAATAAAATAGGCTTCTACAATCTAAGAACCATTTGGTCAAAATAAAACCTACCAAATTAGAAGCAGGGGGTGATTTTTAACAGCACAAGCTGACAGGAAAAAAGGCCAGAGACCATGTATCACTGGACCCGTATCACTGAACAATAAAGGGAGACAGAAAAATGCAAACGCACACCTTCAAAAACTTCTTGGTAACAATTCCTAAAGCAACAAGTTATGTATCTTCCTACATAAAAGTTTCTTTCTTACATTTGCTCACTTACATCTCAATTCATTTTAAAATAGTGAGCAATTAGTTCAGAGGAACAAGAGGCCACAATATATCGTCACCAATATCTCCTGAGTCCTTGGGACTGGCTGCAGGTATCTGGTTCACTCCCCAGAGCAGTGCTTCTTGCCGCCCTCTTCCTCTGATTCTCACCCCTAACTAATAAGGGAGTGAGTGTGGGACAGGCCGAGTGGCGTGATGGTTAAGAACTGGTTTGGGACACCAGAGGGCCCCGGTTCGGATCCCACATATGAGGGCCAGTGACACTGCCCTCCACAGCTAAGATGCTGAACAACAGCTCAACCTGGAG